ATTTGTCCAAAAATTGGTATAGTTCGTAATGGGTTCCAGCTCCAGTCGCGGAACGCTGTGTATGCAAGTCCACGTTTTCCTATAGCACACATACACAAAATTTTCACTGGTATTTGTAGTTCATAATGGGACCAACAACCGGGACTAAGCATTTGGTAATTAAAAGCGGTCCCCGTTGAATAAATTTGAACAAATGGTATATAAAGGGAAATTTTTAATTCACTTGTTTTTTTTTGTGTATTAGACTTCAATTGGCTTATTTCTAATTCTTTTCTGTTTTAAAGAGGAATGTATAAATCGTATTTAAACAATAAAAAAATATATATATATATATTTCATCCATTCAATTAAGGCTGTACAGTTTATTTTGACTTTTATAGTATTTGAAATGGAAGAAAATTGTGAGAGAGCAACCGAAACTGTTGCAAGTGGAAAATTCACACTGGTAAAATCAAAAAAAAAAATTATATATATATATATATATATATATATATATATATATATATATATATATATATATATATATATATATATATATATATATATATATATATATATATATATATATATATATATATATATATATATATATATATATATATATATATATTTTCTTCCATTTCAAATACTATAAAAGTCAAAATAAACTGTACAGCCTTAATTGAATGGATGAAATATATATATATATTTTTTTATTGTTTAAATACGATTTATACATTGGGGATCTTCATAGAATCACATTCTGAGCATTCTGTGAACAAAATGTTTTCTTTTTTTTGTTTATAGCGGTTCTTTTGTTTGGCCGTGAAAAAAAAAATATTGAAGTAAATATACGATATGGCTAGAGAGGGTATGTATCATATGATACGTCCAATACGTGCCTCATCGAAATAACGGTTTAGACCCTAGGTTTCTTTGGACCAAATCCGTTTCAGGACATTTGGAGTCGATCTAGCGATGTCCGTCCGTCTGTCTGTATGGCTGGTGCGCACGATAACTATCGACGGGGATCTTCATAGAATCACCTTCTGAGCCGTCTGTTCATGTATTTTTGTGAACAAAATGCAGATCGCATTTATTATCTGATTGAGATGAAATTTCCAAACAATATTTGTTAAACCCAAGGACGAACCCTGTTGAAATTGGTGAGAATCGGTTCAAATTTAGATATAGCTCCCATATATATCTTCAACCGATTTGAGGTTTATTGTGCACCAAATGATCAATATCATTCCAAATGACCTGAATTTTGGCACATCCGACCACATCAATCTTCAAATTTGGTGAAAATCGGTTCAGATTGGAGCTATAGCTAGCTCCAATATATATGCTTAATCCGATTTGGGATATTAAGACCCTCACATGCATAATATGTACTCCACAAGAATAAAATTAGGTATGAGATACAGCCTAGAAATACCTCTGTCAAGTTGTATCGAGACCGAATAAGATTAGGATATAGCACCCATATATATCTTATCGGATATGAGGTTTTTTGTGCACCAAATGGCTAATATATCTGGTAACAATATCAGTAACAGCTCAGAAATAAAAAAAAGAAAATTTTATCAAGATCGGTTCAGATTTGGATAACGCTTCCACATATATCTTTCTCCGATATCAGGTTTATTGTGCTCCAAGTGACTAGTATCAGCTCAAACGAACTGAATCTTGGCAATTCCGATTGAATTCATCCTACTTAAAATTTGGTGAAAATCGGTTCAGATATAGCTATAGCTCCCATATAGATGTTTCATCCGATTTGATGTTATTATATGCACTCCACAACAATGATATTTGATACAGAACATCAGAAACAGCTCGAAAATACCTCTGCCAAATTTTATCATGATCGGTTCAGTGTTTTATAAACCTTCGATATACATATTCATAAGATTTTACGATTATTGTCCACCATATATGTAATATCAGCCCAAATTGGATAGATTTTTTCACATTCGACCGAATTTTTTCATTTAGGGAAACTCGGTCGGGTATGCACTATACAGCAATGTTATTTGGTACCAAATGCACAAAATCCCCCGTCAAATTTGATAAAAATCAATTCAGAGTTGGATCTCTAAAGCCATGATACGCATTCAACTAAGGTTCATAGTTTGTACGATCTGCTAAATACTCATAGTGGTGTAGGGTATCATATAGTCGGCTACGCCCGACTTTTGACCTTTCCTTACTCACTCTTACAATATTAACTCAATTGCTGCGACTTTACCACTTCCAGTCATATGTAATTTAAGTAAAATCAAGTTTGAATCGCTGATTAACACTTTATGCGTTGGTTTTATAAGTGACGATGTATATTTTCATTAAAGCAATCAGTAGGCAAAAAATTGTGGGAGTGAAACCTTAATAACGAAATAGAAAGTAAATGTCTCCAATGTCTTGTAGCATATAACTATTCGATTTTCTGTTGAGTTTTGTTTAACAAAATTCAACGATGCTTCTGACGTAGACATATGATTGTAGCATGCTCGGTTCCCGTCACCTGATCGCTCGTCGGATGGGGTAGGTTCTTGTCTATAAAAATATGATGCGATAAAAATATGAAAAAAAATAAAAAAAATTCATAAAATACTACAAAATCTATATTAACATCATTACTGGCATCTTTTTATGAGATTTTTTTAGATTTTATACTTTTATGTCAAGAGGGCATTCTGAATTGACAAAATTTGTCAAAATCGGTCCAGCCATTCTTGAGATATAAGCATTCTAGCTAACATCCCTTTCCTATGTACATATATATACATTGTATAAATTTCGCTATATATATCCGATATATTTACTATCGGCAGCGACGTAACGGTCAGAATTGACCTGTTCATCTGTTTGTGATTTCGTCGGAATTAAAAATTTTCGCGGTTTAATGGAAAATATGACTTTCATTTAACACAAATGTTATGGTCTATTTTACCCACTAAATAATATTACACGATGACCACCAAAATTGAAAGGCTTCTGCCCAGCCCTAAGCTCTAGCTCCATGCTAATCGATTGGTGCATAATTGCGACCTGTAGAGCAACTGCAAAATCAGGAAATTTTTCAGTTTTTGGTCCATTTCAACCCCTAAATATTATGCGATCATCTCCAAAAGAAATAGGGTTGTATTCTGATCATAACCCCACCTCCATTTTCAATTTCGTGAGGATCGGACTATAATTGCGACCTGTAGAGTGATTACAAATTAACATGGACAGACGGACGGACGGACATACATAGCTAGACCGACTCAGCTCGGCGAGATAGGAAGATCCATATATACATTCCTATGTGGGAAATCAATATTTCGAGGTGTTACATAATTTTTGGCCCAATCAAACTTATAATACCCCCAACACATAGTATTGTAGGGTATAAAAATGTTCTGCTGATGTTTACGATCATTTTAGTATACGAAAAATTAATTAAATGTCTATATCGTACTGATACGTGTGTCTATCATGGAATTCATGCAATCTAAACTGTAACAGGTGGCGTTGCAGAGGAGGTCATTGACCTACACTGCAATAGGCTCAGTTTTGACAAAATGAAATATGAAGAAGTACAAATGCAAAATAATTTGTTAAAAGGAATAGAGCGAATCGACATTTAACTCCATTGAACGTATATTGTTGTTCTTTTTTCTCAGCGCTGACTATTGTACCTAGGTCTTTCAAACTGTACCCAGGTGAGGTTGGTAATTCTGAGTTTTAAGGTTTAGGTTATTGCATTTTAAATGGCACTATTTCCAGGAAATGGAAAATTTTTATATCCTAAATTTTAGCGTTTTTCGCGAAAATTTATGATATAAAAATATAAATCGGTTCGTATATAGCTATAGCTTCCATACATATTGTTCATCCGATTTGATATTTTTGTCCTCTGCAGCCGTAACAACGTAACAACGATATTTGTGGAAATATATAAAATACAGCACAAAATACCTTTCCCAAATTTTATCTAGATCGGCTAAGATTTGGATATAACTCCTATATACGAAGATATTCGTCCGATTTGCCTTTTATTCCCATGTAATATTTGCCCAAATGTTCAGATATAGGTATAGCTTCAACATATATTGTTTATCCGATTTGTTATATTTGTTCTCCACAGCCGTAATATGCACCCCGTAACAATGACTTTCGGGGAAACACATCAACTACAGCTCAGAAACACATTTGCCAAATTTTATGAAGATCAGTTCAGATTTGGATAGCTCCCATATATATATATATATATATATATATTTTTTTTTTTTTTTTTTTTTAAATTTGTATGATTTAGTTCTCACAAATGCCCCATAAAATTTTTTTTCTTATGTGAAGCTCTACTAAATATGCAAAGGGATGTAGGGTATTATAAAGTCGGATATTATAAGTAAGACTTTGTTTACTGGTTTTTATTGTTACATTTGTTTACATAATGTAATCTCTTAGACTGTTTAACAATCTGATGGACTATGGGGTGTACACGCTCCCTACGTTATGCGTTATGGTGAGGCGATAGGTGGAAAAAACCCTTATACCACCCCAAAGTATCTTTGTGTTTTCTACATTCCCTTCCTACATCGGAGTCTAAGGGCACTTTCAGCCCAAGCAGGTCCCCCACCAGCACAATGGGCAGTGTTGCGTATAGAAGTACTGTTATTGATCGGCAAATGAAGGGTATATTTTTAAATTTTGCTTAAGGTCACTGGACTCACTCTTCGTGAGAAAGGGGATGTTTTTAGTATTTATGTTACACATATCCAAAAATAAAAATTGAAAAGTGTAGGTCCCACCGAGATTTGAACTCGGATCGCTGGATTCAGAGTCCAGAGTGCTAACCATTACACCATGGAACCCGTTAAGGACTCCATATTGCAAAGGATAACAAAAATTATGTTTTAAACGCCGACAAACAACATCTATACTATAAATACAGAGTTGCTTTGCGCATGTCCGAATTATCCTTTTGTCAAACGACCTCATAAAAAATTGCAGTAAATTTAAAATGCGAGTTTTATTATTCTGAATAATCATAATTGGATTAATAAGTTTTATTAGATAATTAAATAGTATTTTATAATTCACTTCTTTATTAATTGAATAAGTATTTTTATATTGTTAAGAGATGCATACTGCTTGAAATTGGACTGACTTCGTTTAGACTTAAATTGCTTTTAATTCAATGCGGTTGAAGTCAATACTGCAACACCACGCTCATAGAAACTGTGAGGATCTTGGCCAGCAGCAACTGCCATATCAATAGTGAAAAGCAATTCCGAACGGGTTGAATTCAAATATACCGGTAATGTTAGTTTGCTTATACGGTGTTCACTTGAAATCCTAGAAAAAAACAGGGGGAAACATCCATCATTTAGGTGCTACTCTAATTAATTTAGGGAAATACTTACTTAACCCACTTCAAGACAGTCAATGGTAAATCCATCATAATAGTGGTGGCCAACAACAATTCATTGTTCTTGCAATGGGCTCCTTGTAATTTCAAACCAGTTACGCCGAAACTGCTATCCTTGGTCTCGGTGTTTACGCCAGTTTCAGTTATGGTCACTTCCAGAGCGAGTTCTTCTAAAGACCAGCTATTAGCCTGGGCTACACATTGACGTGTAGCTGTAATATAAGCTTCAGGATTTAACAAGCCACCCAACCATACGGGGAATCCTTGCAGCTCCTTGGCTCCAGCTTGTGATACAAGTTGTGACACCTTTTGCAATTGCTGTATACGATTGCTGAAATCTGTAATCCACTGGATTACTGTGCAGCCAGCTGGCACAGTGTACCGCTTCCAGCCCTTGGGTATTATACCCTTGACCAATTCCGACAACATGGAACGATGGTGATTGGTTTGTTTCTTTTCTCCTTGACAAATCAAAACGACATCCTGTAGATCAGATATGACTGTCTGTAGCAATTTAGCACCCATGGTGACTTCACGTTCGAAGTAACGGTAAAGAGGATCTTTAATATTTTCCACAGTTCTCTTAAGAGTTTGCAAATTTTTAGGCAACAGATCCAACCAAGCTGTAGCTGACTTGTGAAGAATTTTCATCCACGAAGGTCGGCCGTCTTCTCGCTGTGCTGCAGCGGCAACCGCTGCTTGTTCATTAGTTTCTTCAACAGTATAAGCTGGTTCATCGTCGTCCTCCAGTTGCTGCATTTTCAAAAGTTTGCTAATCAAATCAGTACCACGTGTGGTGAGCAAAACCTTTTCAGCGTTGTTAGGTAGACCTAACCAGGATGGTGTTTGACGGTCGGTAAGATTTTCAATCCATTTAAGGAAATGATCTCTGCGAGTGCCGTCGGGCATGGTGATGTGTCGTTGGCCACCGGAAGCGCCATCTACATTGGCGACTAAAGCGAAATCGGCTTCGAACGAACGTGCTGTGAACAACTTCTTCAAGAATGACTGCAGCAAACGTTGATCGAAGTCATTGTCGATTTTACCGCCATATATAGACTGAGAAAGGAGAGTGACCAAGGCATCCCAAGGAATCTTCTCGGGTGGTAAATTGGTGCGACCCATGGCTGTACTATCGATCCAAGTATCCAAGGTGTCGCAAGCTACTCTCAAATCGCTCTCATTGAACTCGTACTTCTTGGCCCAGCCCAAAGGCACGTAACGCAAACGTTCTTGAACAATGGCATGGAACCAAGCCAAAAGGAAGTACAAGCGTGCCCTCTCACTGGGTGTTTTCATCATACGTGCTGCAGGCACTGTAGAGAAGGTTCTCAACAAATTGGCACGAATGCCTGGTGGTGGTTCGAAGACAAAGATTCTACCAGCTCTAAGCAGATTGACTGGTACCTTTGGATTAATTTCCATGGTTAAGAATAAACGGAAACCGGAGTGAGGTTGCAGTGAATGCATTTTCTTTTCCAATTGTACCAACCATTGTGGTGCTAAATGAACGTTCTTCAGCATTACCCATTTACCGCTCTTACAGGCCATATTTATAGCCGATTCAGCTTGGTTGAAGCCCTCAGCCGAGCCAATGGCAATACTTGAAATTTGTTTGTTCAACTCAGCAGCCAAATCATCAACGCGTCCAGAAGCATCGAAACCTGGTACCGAGCACAACAAGGCTGGCGTATTACTGTTCAATTGTTTATCCACAACAGCTGCAAAGTCCAACTCATCTTCGGCCGTCTGCATAAAGTCTGAGCCCAAAACAGCATTGACAACATTATGAGCAGCTGCAATTACACGATCTGGCCTAAAGGCTTGAATCAATAACAGCTGATGTACTGAAGTTGCTATTGGGCTTAGAGCCTTGGATTCATCCCACAACAGTGGAACACATTGTTCAGGTGAACTTTGTTGCAACCAAGCGCCTAATTCTGGAATGGTGCTAAGCTTTTCAACTAATTTACGGAATATTGGCACTCGTGTGGCCAAACGATTAACACCATCGATTTGCTCCGCAGTCAGACCTTCAACAGGTGTGGGATTAGCCATTAAACCTTCCTTGCTTCTCAAGAAGAAATTGAATTCCGAGTCCAAGTTCATTTCCGACGTGCCCTTAAGATGAATCTTACACATCAGCAATGCGAATGTCAAACGATCGTTATGCAGCATACCACGGGCAACTCGGTCGTAACAAACTTGGAAGAGATCACGCGTAATTATGCCCAAACGCTCAGCATTGTCTGTCTTGCCGTCCAATTTCTTGTTATTGTACAAAACCGTAGAGAAAATGTCCAAAAACATTTTCAATGAATATTGATATAGGAAGTGGACTTGATTCAAACTGTCCATTGTGAAGTAGATGTTACTGCAAGCGACAGATAGTGGGAGATATTGTTGAGACACAGTCTCAATTTCTGCAATGACCTTATCGGTTTCGTCCACCTTTTGATTGATGTCGTATGCTTCTTTCTTCAGTGTCTCCAGGGTGGCAATAACAGAGTCATCATCCAAAATTTTGCCCTTTGCATCGTTCAAGGCCTGCAGCAAACTCTTTTCCAACTGTCGCAGTCGCAAACGGAACTCACCTTGAAGTTTCAACAAATCAGAACGTTTCTCATCGATATCTGGTCTTTCGGCCTTGAGAACTTGGTTCAGACATTGCGACTGCAATGAACTTCTGGTAACAGTGAAATTGACGAAAGTAACACGAGAACATATATCCGGAGGGAATTCCACAGTTGGATCACGGGTTGAAAGGAATATGACAAACGATGGTGACAAATCGATATCTTGATCACCCAGGGTAATCAAAACACGACCGCCACTACGTCTCAATTCACGATTTAATACCGGGTTCAAAATAGGATCATAATTTTCAACGTCTTGTACCAATAGTGGATTACCGAAACGTAGAGCAGATTCCAAATTCTTACGGAATGAGTCGTCCAAGAAACTGGTCTTGGTAATCTTTTTGCCTGCATATTCGTTAAGTAAGAAAGTGGTAGCCTGACCTGAAGGATCGATAATCAAAGGATATCTATTGAACCTCTTGAGCATAATGGCATTCTCGGTGCACAAATCATCGGTGGGCAAAGCATTGGCTTGCCATCTTAAACGTTCATCGGGATTAGACAAGTATTCGGTGCGAGCAATGTCCGCACGATATTGTATGTTAGCCGCTTGCAAGTGTTGACTCCATGTGGTAAAGAGATTTGTTCTGTAGTGTTGGTCAAAGTAACCTCCATATGCAATGAAAGCAGCCGACAGCAAAACGTCACCAATAATGGTAGACATTTGAGATTTGAACGTTTCACTGGTACTCTCCCAACGTTCACGTTCAATATTTAAGCTCTTAAGCAGAGCTATGGAGCGATCCACCTTGGCTTGCACATTCTCCAAATCGGTTTTAATGGCCTGGGCCTGTGAAATCAATTGAGCATATTCTTCTTTGTATGCAGCAATACTTTGCTCCAATTGTTCAACCAAAGCTTTGGTTTCATCAGCGTTGGCTTTGTTAATGGCAGCCTGTTCTTCAAGTGAACGCAACTCATCACGCAAAGGTTCGACACGCTTCAACATATCAGCATACTCAATCTGTAGACATTTTTAAAAGGTATAGATCAGATATTCGAATTATCATTCCATTTAGTGATAATTTTGAATTACAAAATAAGCACGTTACATACCTGAGCAATGGCCCATTTAACCATAGGTCCACAAGCCAACGAAGCACGATTAACCTTTTCAAAGTTATAATCGGGATTGCTTAGGTACTTCGATTTCATTTTCTCGCGTACTTCATCGCTAAATATTAAAAATAGTACATTATTAGATTTTCTTCAATGTTGAAAAATTAAACAAAATGGAACAGACATGCAAAAGTGGTGAAATGCAAAAGCAAAGAGCACAAAAAACCAAAGCCATTTCAACCAATTCAAATTAAACAAAAATAAATAAAAAATCTACAGATTAGTAAAATTATATGCAAAAGAATCGAATATTGTTAAACCATAAGGGAGGAACAAACGTAAAATTTGCAAAAACTAAAAAGTATAACACTACGTGGAATGCAGGATTGTGTCAAACAACTCAAATGATACCATACTCCATGTTGTATGGGTGTATCATTATTATCTTTAATGTCCCATTAACATCAACAACAGTAAAAAAAACATAACAAAAGAAGGACGAATTGAAAAAAAAACAACAACAGGAACAACAAGAAATCCATAAACGTTTGAAATATAAGAAAGATAGAAACATTTCATGCTTACGTTATCATTTCAGTACTGAAGTTAGAGACAATTGAATTTATGAAATTTTCACGCATAATAACGGCGCGAATCGACTTCCAATCGGTTGCATTCTCGCCCAGTAATAAACAGATCGATTCAAGGGCCAATTTCACCACGGAGGGTGGATTTGCCATTGTTCTCACTTCAACAAGTTGTTGTTTGCGTATAGATTTCACAGCTACATTTTTTTGTTCGCACAATTGGAATGGATTGTAAGTAGACATTGTATAAGAAAGGTTAGTATGTAGTCTTTTGTTTCAATTAAAATATATACACTAAAACAATTTTCTGCCTGCCTTATAATACTCTAAACTTAATGTAACATTTTCTTACTTCAGTAGAGGGTAGTTTTTTTTTAAATTTATTTTGCTTTAATTCGGTGTGTTTGACACGAGAATCATTGAAAATACTATTTAATGGATAAGGATTGATGTAAGAAATTCTGTTTTATTTATGGTTGAAAACAGAATCTTATCGATCCCTACAGTTTATTATTCATATAACATAGTACGTATTTTATTCACTAAATGCATTCCTTACATTAATATATATTCTAATACATAAGACGATATTAAAAAAAAAACGCACATTACGAGATCATACTTTAGAATACTTAATATTAAGCAGTATTTTTTTATTTGATGAAGTCAAATGTAATGTTTGTGTTGAATTAAAAGATAATCCTGAATCTGGTATATATTTTCAATACTCTATTCAATCTTACAAACGTACTGTGTGATGATGATTGGTGGTTGGCACGCAGTACAATGGTTGTGTTAATTGGTAACCTGAGGTAAACCTTTAAAAAAAAATTTTCGGAAACATAATGCCGATACCATTGTATATTTTTGCCGGATAGTGTGTACCGCTTACTATCCCAAATCAATAAATTATTGAAAAATCTAACTAGGGCCTTTTACACACGCATAATTGTGGGATACTATTATATGGCCACCACTCCAAAGTTAAAAAAATTAAAATTTAGACTTCAAAATGTAGAATTTCAGAAGGTATGGATATGTGCAGGCTATACTACATAATGGACCTATACAGAACAAATTTTACAGAAAGGGTTTATGTACTCGCCAAATGACCACTGATCTGTTATAAAATCCGCCTAAGCCCGAAAAGGTATTTAAAACCCGAAGGTGCCGATGTATTGGGTAGCGGAGTTGTATTAAACTTCTGTTGCGGAAAGAGATTTTACATCCTCAAACATTCAAAATATATGTGGGCTATATCTAAAAAAAAAACCTAGAATAATATTAGCCTGACTTTGTTCAATTTTCAGCCCCTTACCTTTGTTGAAAATAATTTGAGAAATATACATAGACTTTTTTGGCTTGTCTTTTTTCAGAAAGTAAGTTCTTAATTTAAACTAGGTCACCACAATTCGTTGTTCTTGCATGAAAAAAAGCCAGCCGATGACATGAGCCAGAAAAAATCCAGACAAAAATTCTTGTATTTGTAGCCTGAATATTTTTTAAGAATATTATTCATGTTGAATTTTGGAGAAGCAGAAATGTATTGTTCAAATATAGGTATCAAGCTAGCTGTATTTGGGGGAAGTATTGTACACCTTCCATACATTCAGACAAGATCAATAATTGAATTTGTTCATCAATGCAACTCTGGTATTAATCCGAAAAAATATTGTACATTTTGTAATAAAATATTAATTTTTATGTAAATGTAATCTACATGAAACCAGTAAGGAAAAGTCAAAAGTCGGGCGGGGCCCGACCTACACCACTATGCATATTTAGTAGATATCCTGTAACCAAAGTATTTATTTGAAGTAGATCATACCACCTATCAACATTTGGTTATAGAGCAGTTATTGTTTGGTTTCAGAGGGAACTAATATATGGGAGGCATATTCAATTCTATATTTTAATCTATATCAAATAATATTGCTATAGAGTGCATGAGAGAAGGATTGTATTTAAAAAATATATATCGGAACCGAGTTCCACAAAATGGAAACGTACTTTCCGAAATTCACTCCATTTGGGCTGATATTAGCTTAAAATGGTATTAAGGATATATGGGAGCTATTTCCAAATCTTAGCCGTTCTCGATAAAATTTGGCAAAGGTATTTCTGAGCTCTATAAGATATCTGGTATCAAATATCATTGTTGTCAAATTCTTATTACGAATGTGAGGGACTTAAACACCAATTCGGATGAAACATAAATGTGGGAGCAATAGCTATATCTGAACCAATTTTCACTAATATTTTTGGCCTTAAAGGCTTTCATTACATGAATGAACTGAAATAAATAAAATAAATTTGATGTACTTGCTTCTAGACTGAATTCGGTCGGATGTGCCAAAATTCAGATAATTTGGACTGATATTGGCCATTTGGTGCACAATTAACCCGAAATCGGTTGAAGATATATATGGGAGCATAGCTATATCTGAACTGATTTTCTCCAAATTTGATGTACTTGCTTCTAGACCGAATTCGGTGGAATGTACCAAAATTCAGGCCATTAGGATTTATATTGGACATTTGGTGCACAATTAACCCGAAATCGGTTGAAGATATATGGGAGCTATATCTAAATAAACAATTTCAATAGGGTTCGTCCTTGTGCCAAACAAATAATATTTGGAAAAGTTCATCTCAATCGGATAATAAATGTGACCTGCATTTTGTTCACAAGAATACATGGACAGACGGATGGACGAACGGACAGACAGACATGCATAAATCGCCTCAGGAAAGTGATTTTATGAAGATGCTCAAAAGTAACTATGGGTCTATCTCGGTTCCTCCTCTCTATTACAAACAACGGCATAATACCTTTAACACTATCTGATGTAGGGTACAATTAGACTCTGCAATAGTGTCTTCTTCCGTCAAATATACAAATAAGTCAGGTAGCAGATTGTTTTGAATTGTTTTCGATCTCCAATCCATATCTGTTAACTATTACTTTCGGCCTACACCAGAATAGAATTATATTATTTCTGGACGCATTCACCAAGACTTTGATTGAAGGCTTATGCATGTCATAATTAACATGAATACATATGTTTCGATTTATTTACAGTTTGTCTACCATGTACTTTATAGCCGTTTCTACATATAGAATAACGATAATCAATCAGTTAAAAGTGGAATTATAAACTATTTTTTAACGTGTCGTCTATGCTTTCCTAACTGAATATAACAATTCCACCACACACAAAGTAACTAAAAATTACGTAGAAAGTCGATCAAGAAGTATTAGGTTCATTGGGAAACTTTCATAAGATAAGAAAATAATTGTATTCTCTGAGATATAAATTAAATTATGCTAGTAATGTTTAACGTCGCCTTGTTTATATCTATCAGGAAAGTCTATTCAAAGTATAAAGGAACAACCTACAACAATTGAGTCTATTTCAGATGCGTTAGGAGGACAGGGACATTCTTAAATTAAAATACCTAAAATAAGCAATTTCATAATATTTCAAACGTTTTCATCAATATTTACAGGGAACTCCATGAAAAATAATTTATTAATTTCATTTTGAAACTATTTAAAACCGAAAATTGCTACTGCGTCGGAATCGATTTCCGTTACTCTCTCTTATATGTTATATATCAAATATTATCATATGGGAAATGTTAAATGTGTTTAATTTTTACAACGTTATTACACGGTATGTTTGCTGACGTGGACTTGGCTTATTTGGCCAATACGGCCGTACTAAGAATTTTACCATAGTGCGAAAGTTGAAGTTTTTTGTATGGAACGTCGAATTTGAATTTGGCTGTTCAAAAGCGCGAGACACCTACACATCGCCTGGCTCTTGACATTTTCACTTCAAACTTATTTCATACAAATAGTAGTATTGAATATTATTATAAAACAAAAAAAATATAGCTAAACATAAACTGTAATATTAGCTAGATAATATGGGTATTAAGACTTCAGTGCACGGCATTTGCATTGGCATAAGTTGGTGATTGGTGTCTCATATAAATAAAATGACGGGTTGGAAAGTGAAAAGGTGGGCGGGGATAAAAACTTCTATGGGGACAATATGTAAAGTGGCCACGTTTTAAATTCGTATTTAATAAATTAGCAACAAAGAATGTTAAAAAATATATATATGTACAGCCTAGCCAAATGAAAATATAAATATTCAGTTTAAAGTTTTGCATTTTAGACAAAGACGTTAATTTTGAATACAGGATGAATTAGCAAAGAATGGGGTCATTTAAATGGTTAAGGCAAATAGGTCTTTGATTTAGAATGAGTTGTGAAACGAGATTAGGACGATATAAACATGGATGTGGATATATGTATGTATACTAGTAGTTATATATGTATTGTAGATTATAAACGGGTCGTACGTGATATTTTCGGTTTTGAAATTGACAATAGATGATATAAAGGTTTCTCTAACAATAATGCCGCGCATTGTCTTCCAGTCGGGTGCATTCTCATTGAGTAGCTCGCACACCGATTCCAAGGCTAACTTAACAGGTGGCGGTGGATTTGCCATGGTACGTATTTCAGCCAATTGTTTCTTTTTAATGCCGCTAACAGCTAAAGATTCATTCGTAAAATTTAAATTAAACTTAGGCATTAGGTTTATAGACTTAATTTTAACTTAGAATGTTTTAAAACTAATTCTAAAATAGGATATATGGTGAAAATTGAAATCTGAAAACATACCTTGTTGTGCGTCAATAACGGCCGGTTCTACTTGAGCCAAATCAGCCACGACATATTTACGTTTCTCCTCTACCTTAATGTTCTGCTCAGCCAGCTTGTTCTGCAATTCCTGCGATTGTTTTTTCTTGTTTTCGGCCTCTTGTTGATCTTTGAACATTTGCTTGAGTTTAGCATTGGCGGCTTCATTCTTAGCCTGCAATTCTTGCTTCTTAACAGCCAATGACTTTTGCATCTCCTCTACTTGTTCCACTGTCTCAGCAATTTTGTTCAAACCCACATTCAAATGTAATTGTTGCTCTTCTAAGTCGCTACGTTTCTCATTGTACAGCTTAACAAAGTGATGAATAAAGTCCAAATAGTGGCGTGGAGTAACGGCCATTGTGCGACCACCTCGCTTAGCCAAACGGGCATTGGCTTGGTGAAGTGTTTGATGTACATAGACACAACTATTAATGACGGCATCGCGATGAGTTGGTTGCGATGGCACCAGAGGACATACTGATGGGAAAAAGTCAGGTGGTGTCCAAGCTGGTTTCTCCAAATCAACACGAGTGGTAAATTCTTTGCCAACTTGGAAGAGAGCTGAATCTGACCAGTCACCGAACCAGTTAAGTACACAACGATTGAACAAAGCAGGTGATGTAGCTGCCCGATCTTTCAGACCATCAGTAGAAGGATTCATGGTGAAGACAACATGCAAGTTGCGCATGACCTGTTGTGTAAACCTAAAAAACACAGTCGACGATAATTTTCGTCTTATGGAAATAAAGAAGCAATAAGTCGTACTAACCATTTGTATAATTCGTCGCTCGAATCCAACATCAAGCCTTCTCTTTGGGCTCCTTCTTTACACTGAGTCATCAATGTAGTATATTCATCGCCTTCGAACAGACCAGGAACTTCCCCGTTGGCCAACAAAGTGTTCATTCGTTCCAAAAAGCCGGAATCCAAGACGTTCGATTCATCCAAAATGAAAGCAATTTTTTCATCTCTGCAGCCAGATCGACGCAAGACTGAACGTAAATCTTCATCGAAATCTTCGCCAGTGTATTTATTGTGGACCTTGATTTGGAAGATGGACAAACCATTCATCCAGGCCACAAAACGTGATAGAGTAGTCTTGCCTGCACCAGAAACACCGATAAGCAAAAGATGGCCCTGAGGTTGACGGAAAATACGATCGATACGCAAAACATGCTCCAAAACTTCATCAAATAGGACCAAAGGAACATCCAGTTCTTCTTCGTAGAATACCTTAAGCCTGGCTCGTACGTAGTCACGCAATTCTTCGCGATTGACAGGCATGTAGTCCTTTGAGAGCCAATTGCTATACAAAATAGGACGAGCCAAGGCCTCCTCGGAATTGATCCCAGGGAAATGTTTCAAGGCGACAGTGTCAATATTTTCATTGGTCCACCTACGTTCCGATTCTTCGACCAATCGATCTTGGAAGAGTCGCAATGCTTCATGAGCCCAAATGCGTACCAAACCCTCAACCGGTAGAGAATCCAAAGGACGAATAGCCTCGCAGATACCACGAACCCAGCGGGTCATTTCACGGGGCGAGTAAACATAATGCGGCTGCATGTCCTGTGTAAAACGATCTTGGGAAGCCAGGTAGAATTCTACCATGGCATTTGTCAAGGGTTCAGCGTATCCTCGAAGTGTTGGCATTAGACGCAACATGGCCCTTGAGAAAGTTCCATAAATCTGTTTCAAAGAGGTCTCTCCAGGATAATCGACGTAAATAATAGGTACATGGCGCAAGAAGCGATGCGACAAAGGTTTGCGGCCAGGATCTGTGGGAGGATTACAGGCTCCCACAAACTGTATGCGTTCCAAAGATACCCAAGCCTGATCACTGGCACGATAAAAGCCCTTATGTTCAACCAATTGTCTCAAGAAGGAAATAACACGTTGAGTGCCATACGAATCCATATCCGGCAAATTAATTTCATCGCAGAACAAAACCAACCACTTGCCAATTTGCACTGGTGACAATACCACACCGTTTGGAGTTTTACGATATTCGCAATAATGATCAAATGTTTTAAGTAGGAGCTCGGGGGTTGTGGCTGACGAGAAGTTCAAGCCAACCACCTCCATATCGGGTAAAGCTCTCAAAGCTGAGAACAAAGTCATTGTCTTACCAGAACCAGGAGGACCGCACAAAACTAGGGGAGTGACAAAATTTATTTATAGGAACCTTTCAAAGTTAAAATAACCTACCCAAAGGCTTGTGTTCTGCCAACCAAGTGTAGAGCAAAGACTCATGACGAACAGTATCCAAGGTGGGTACCACAATATCCGGCGAAGCAACTTTATGGGTCTCAACTTCAATAACAGGTACCTTATTGGACCATGGAACCCATTCTCCATTAATGCTGACCTCATAATCAATAATTGGCACACCAGTCGATCCCGGCAGTGGTACAGTAGTAACACTACGTACAAAATCGCCCAAATCAGTGCGTACTTTAAGCTTAGAATCGCCAGCGAATGACCAAAGAACTGAATAAATTAGGGATTTAGTAATATATTGTTCCAACTGATCATTGGAGCACGGGAAATCTGGATGTGTAGCGTTATAGTTCAATATATTTCTATAATATAAGAGGTCATTGTTATGTATGTTGGTCAAGAAAAGGAGCAAGTGTGCACATTACCTGGCGGCCTGGTTCAGCATCGAGAACAAGGAGCTCAATGCCCTTAAACGTGTAAAGTCCATTATATGTTCTTGCTCATTGGCAGCATATTCCAAACTGCGTACAACAACACCATCAGCTGAGAAATATGGTTGCAGCAACATTGCAATATCCCGCTGTACCTGCAGCGATGGCGATACTTCATCCTCTTTGTCCTTGGTTGGTTGAGAAATACCAACAAAGTCATCATCAGTATCTTCCAAAGGTATTGAACGTAGACGCAGCAAGTAGTTTTCGAATATCATCTCAGTTGAAAGAACGTCTTCAGAGAACCAAACCATGCCACAACGTGATACTGTGGCCAAAGTGGCATATTTCAAATCCTGTACCTCGAACATAATGCGTACATTTGGTGGCAACGACAAACGTTCACCATTTGGCAATGTCAACAATTTGTTGTCATCCAACACTGAGTTCAAATTTTCAACCCATTCCGGATCAACATCACCATCGAAAATAATCCATTGACGTTTATTAATTTCGCCACGTACATTGTCAATGATTTTACGCAAGATGTGGGTGAAAAGACCATCGGTCCATTCACGAGTATTTGGATCCAATACACCATACAGAGCTTCCTTAGATATAGCCTTGGGATCAATGACATGGGCAACACCTTCAATGCCCTCAAAACGCTCCAATGCCTTGAGCAGTGTCCGCCAAGCTGTTGATTTTCCGGATCCAGAAGGGCCCACCATCATTAAACCATGATTGAGACGGGAAATTTGGTATAATTGTAAGACCTATATTTGGATTTCAATTGAAAGAAAAATACAATTAGAAACTAATCATCGACCAGGGAAACATACGGGAATCACAATGAAAGCATTATCAACAAGTCTAAATCGAGTTGGGAATATTAGTTGTTTTCACATTTATGATTTAAACTTGTTCTCTACAATATTTACAGCTGTTATGAATAAGAACTTAGAAAATTTCTTACTTTATCAACCCAAGTTTCACCAAATCCCTTTTTTCATACATTGTTTTCATTATCATTTGTTAAAGCAAATTTGTTCATTAATTTACAGTTGGTTATTGTGCAAGTATTTTTCATATTTTTAAGATTTTGTAAGAGAAATTTGAAATTAATAAGGAAGAAATTTAATACAAATATTTTAAAAATATGTCAAATAAAATAAAAATATATATTTTATGTTCGTGTTCTAAATATGTATAATGAAGTGAAAGAAATCCTTAATTTGCTTTTTAAGAATTTGATAAAGGCATATGATAGTAAATTACCCTAAAACTTTTGAAATCACAATTACATTATTTTTTAAATAAAGAAAAAATCCTAGTTTTTATTTTTTGAATAATGGGAGATTGAAATCCAAAACTAATTTGATATCTTTTTATAATATATGTGTGCCAAATATAGTTTGTGATCGTAACTAATCACATCCTTTATCAAACCAGATAAAATGAATATTATTTCCCATTGGTTGCATTTCGGCAAAAACAAACAACCTACCTTTTCCATCCAAGCAGCACCTTGTTCATCGCCCTCGCCACAAACCAAGTAATCTTCTTGGCATACTTTACGAATTTCTTCCTTTAAGCCCTTCATTTCGGCACGAGTATAGCCAACATTGGGGAATACATCACTCAATAGAGAGAACAGCAATGGAATATCTTCGGCCACCAATTTCGGAACCATTGTCTCGCATACCGATTGTATAAGTATTTCCTGTTCTGGTAGATTTTCAGCTACCGAAGCTTCATCGATATTTTCTTCACCTCGTTGTTTAAGCGTTTCTTTTATCTTTTGAATGCGATCACGTTTTACATTACCAGCCGAAATAAGAACTGACTTCAGAGCACGCAAACCGAAGTCGTAGTGAGATTGATTTGATAATTGTTCATCGCAGAGTTTAAAGAACGGTACAATTTTGCAGGCCAATTTCTCTGCCGAGCGGAAACCTTGCGAGAACAACATGACTTCAGCAATTAATTGGCGATCAGGTTTGGTCATAGCCAATGAACGGAACAATTTCTTCAAATTATCTGGCAAATTGGAACGACCAGCATATCCAGGGTTCATTGTTATGAATATAGCCATATCCGTAGAGACACGTACTTGTTTGCCCACCAATTCAACCGTAATGCTCTCCTTGTTGCTATCGGTTTCGTATTTAAGAGCTTCTTGTATTGTTTGGATTTGTTGTGAACACGCGGAGAGCATACGTTCCTCCAAACGATTGAATTCATCGAAGCAACCCCAGGCGCCAACTTGACATAGACCAACAAAAATACGACCCATTGCCTGGAAATCGAATGTTTCATCGCAATTGAATACCAGCACAAAACGACCCAGCTGGTTGCCCAAAGCTTTAACGGACTCGGTTTTGCCGGTACCAGCAGGACCGAAGGGAGAACCACCCAAGCGAGATTCCAAAGCTTGAGTCATGGTTAAATAACAACGATCGGTAAGAGGAGTCTGCACCAGACGATCCTGTACACCCAAGTATTCAAAACCGTAGTAGAAACGTGCGTTGGCCATATGAATAGTGAGCTGTTGGAGAACCTGTTTGACGAAAGAATTAACGTAAAATATAACTTGACAGACCAAATGAAAATAATTTAACTTACCACAGTCTGCCTGGGATCAAAATAGAACCTCATTTCGGTTAGCCATTGGAATGATTTTGGATGAGTAACGCCATTGGTTATTAAACGTCTAGTGACAGTACGTTTGTGTACAAATTCATTAATCTAAACAAAAACAACATTTTCAACTAATTATTTTAACTTTGTCTCTTTTGTACATACCAAGTGTTCCAACTTCTTTCTGCGCAATGGTGGTTGTTCCTGTAACACAGAATCGGCCAGCACATTCAATGTTGATTCAACAGTTCCTAAAACGCGTTGCAAAGGTTTAGTTGAATTCGTTTCAGAAGCCTGTTGCAGAGCGGCCTCGACATCTTCAGACCACAAAATTTGGGCAGCCAAAACTACAATTTGAGCTTGGTATTTGTCGCACCATTCCATATATTTTTGGGGATCAATTTGTCCTTCACGGAATTGTTTGATATCTTGCACGGCCTGGGCCAAAAATGAAGCAAGTGTGAAACGCATTTGTTTCTCAACCAATGTTAACCATTCATTAATCTTGGGATGTTCCACAGTGGATACGGGATTAATAAAACGAACTTCTTCGCCTTCACGTGAAGCTATACCCAATATAACAGTGTTATCTTCATTCAATATGATAGCAGCAATACCAGCAAACATTTTCTTGAAATGTTTTTGCAAACGGGCAATATTTTTGCTATTGCCAATAATCTCCAATAAATCTTCGTCACCGACAAAGTAGAACCGTGGGAATGAAGTACGTTCTCTTTCCAAGTATTCACCCAAAGCCTTTTGGATTTTGCCCAACAGATCTGCCAGTCGTTCAAGCGATCTTTGAACAGCTGGTATATTCAAAACATCCATAACCTTCGGAGATTTGGCCACCTTTTTCATAAGACCCAGGAACTCGGAGCTGATGCTTTGGAATCTTGAGGTTTCTTGAGGCAATAAAGACTTGATATCTGCACTACCCGAGAATATTCCTTCGAGGTACACCCATCTACGTTGTACGTCAATCCAAACATCAAACAAAGCATTAATGCGATTCAACTTCTCTTCCCAGGTTAGAGTTTCTTCTTCGAAAACTTTGTAGAAAGGTGACAGCTTCATGGCAGCCACAGAATTGATGTGTTCTTTCACCTTATTGAACAAGTCGTCCCATCCGCGTATAATGCGGCATTTATTTTGATAGTTGATCAAATCCAATTCGTAACTTTGCCAGGTGTCACGGACCTGCTTCAAGAATTCTTCCAAAGCCATTTCTCCTTGGGCAACACGCATGATATCTTTTACGATATTTTCATTCTTTTGCAAGTTCACATCCCAAACCTGACCCAAGGTAAGATCAGAGATAACCCAGTTTACACGCAACTCTTTTGTAAGTTGTTTCCAGTGACGTTCCTTGAGAGCATCCGATTTAAGTTCCACAATCAACATGTTGACCTTAATATAGCTCTGAATAAGCTTCTTGACATATTCGTATGATTCGTACATACGCAAACGAGCCGGCAATTCTTTTAGTTGCGACATCAGTGCCTCCAATTGTTGACGGAGCTTGCGTGGTTGTACAGACAACCATGGTTTTTCGCTATTGAAAGGATAAGGTTAATTACAAGCTTTACATTTTTACCAAACAAAACGTACCGAGTCTCATCAATCTGTGTCCAGACCTTCGATAATTCACTCCAAACACCACGTAAATCTTGCAATTCTTCTAAAGCGACATTCATTCTTTCTGAGCTGTTATTGGCCACAGCAGATTCTTGTAATTCCAATGCTTCCTTGGCCTTGGCGACGTTATCACGTTCTTCCTTCAAACGAGAGTATTTACTTTCGAACAATTGCAATTGTTGAAGTGCATCATCGGGGCGAATCTTTCCACCAGTAGGCTTATTGTCTTCCCAATCCTTGAGGAAATCAAGAGTACGTGTCTCAACCGCTTTGTCTTCTGCCACAATTTTAGCCTGCAAACTTGCCACCTGAGTTTGAATGGCAGTGTCTTTGCGTTTGATGATTTCATTGAAAGCTGACCATTCACCCTCAATGTTATCGACATGCAACCAACTGTTGGGGAATTGGAAGCGTTGACGCTCCAAAATTCGTTGGGCTTCACGGAACACTTCAACTTGTTTGTCCCAGACAAGCATTTCTTTTTTAAGCGACTGCACGTACGTGATAAAGCTTACAGCATCAGTAGTACTGGCAGCCTCTGTAAAAAATATATGGAAATGTTAAATTTTCAAAAATTCTTACTTTTGTATATCTCTTACCAATGCTTTGCATTTCCAGATCAGTTCTGGACTTCGAAACCTTGGCATGGAATGTGGTCATTTCATTGCCCAATAATGAACCAAATTTACCCAACGCTTCCTTATGCCACGAGTCATACTTCAATGTCACCTTGCCCTGCACCTTGGCATAGTCGATTATGATAGGACCGTATGCCCGGCGAGTATCAGAAGTGTCGAATGTGGTACGTGACTTCTTAATATCATTCAAACACTTTATCCATAGATTGACATCTTCACCCAAGCGACCATACAAAGTATCGGCTTGTAAATCCCACAATGATTGATAGCGTAACCATTCATCGACATAGTTACGTACTTCGCCAATTTTACTTTCAATGGCATCATAGGCCATTTCCAATACCTTGCATTCCGGCAACTTAGTTAGCAAATTGCGATAAGTTTGCAATACAGGCTTATCCAAACCGACTTGATAGCGAGAACTTTGCAAACGCACTTGAGAAGTAACAATAGCCTCCCAAGCGAACAATTGCTGCATAATTTGGAATCTGGCCTCCTCAATAGATGGATACAAATACATCTGTTGATTAGTAATACGTATTTCATGAACGGCATTTTGAATTTGGGGTTCACCGCCAAGTTTATGAGTTGGCTGAGCTGGGGCATCCGTGTCCATAGAAAGATCTACTTCCTTCTTGTTGCCTGTCAGGGATTCAGTCCAAGCTTGTATACCGGCCTGTAGACGTAAAGCCAATTTCTTTTCGACCTCTTCATCGAGGCGTTGGACCCAAACACTCAGGTTTGAATATTGGCGTAGAGATAAATCATCAACAGCATGTTGGATTTTCGAAAGAATTTCCCCAAAGGTAGCAGCGCTATAGGGACAAGTCTCCAACGAACGTACATCGACATCCAATTGCTCTTCGATATCCAAAAGGTCTTCAACCTGCGACGAAACAAAAAGCAATATTACCAAGGGAGTTTTGTAAAATGTTTACTGCCAGTTACCTTTTCCTGGAATAGTGTTACACACTCCGATAGGCGCAATACATATGGATCCAATTTGTAAGATTCCCACACTAATCCAATGCCTTCAGAAATCAAATTGAGAACATCTTTACGCAAACCGGCTACCAGTGGCACAATACTGGCACGATCATCAATCTATTTTATTATTAATTGAAAACAATAAGACATTAACAAATGTTCAATTTAATTTTTTCTAGGTAATATCTTTTAAGAGTGTAAAATATGAAAAAGCATGCCGTTTTTAATATAAAATAGAACGTTACACTTCTATGATGTATAAATATAAAATTAGGACACACTGATAACCAACAATTTCATCAAAACATATTTTTTAAGTTTAACAAATCTTTTTTAATTACTACCTTGAAGACAGAATTTTGTGCTAAACTCCTATTATTTAGCTGCATGTAAATAAGAAGGATTGTTTGTTTGGTTTGAAGGTAATATGGAGGAGCATTAATTTAATATGATCAATCATGTGTATTAATGAAAAATAGATATATTTCACATGAAATTCAAAATATCAAAATAAAATAAAAAAAAAAATTAAAAATTTCAAATGGACTGTCCAAAATAACTGTCCATTTTTGTTTGGAAAAACTTTAGCTAGAGGTCACCTCTGTTTTCAGTTTTTGAATTTCAAATGAAATATCTCTAGAAATGAGTAATAATGGTGTAGAAGAAACAATTATGCAATAAGCTATATGCTGCCTTTATTGAAAGGTACATGCTCGATTGGTGTTTATAAAAAATATAAATAATAGTATTACATTTTGTTTAACATAAATGTTTGTGATAACAAAAATGTGTTAGAGTAGATATGTTGTAAAAAGGAAATAAATTATCCGACATAAACAGAAACAAAGGTTAAGCAATAATTTCCATAACTTGTGCGCAAATTACATTCGTGTTTAACAAATGTAATTTAGAAAATAACTAATTAAAGCTGATTAACCTTTGTTATCACATTTAATTTATTAAACTATCAAAACCTTACCTTTTCCAAAGTACGTTCATAGGTGCGAACACTTTCAATCAATGATATAGCATATGGATAAATTTGATTTGCCTGATGGGCCTTGTTGACAATGGCAAGGGGAACTCTGAAAAATAAATGACAAACATAAGATTTTAATTTACAACACCCGAAGTACAAACATACCGGAAACTCAAATTCTTGATATTACGAACTTCCTTGGACAAGGTAATTATTTCGGGCAAAAAATTAACACGTAGTTTTAAAATATTTCCCTTTCCGGAACGAGAACGGGCAGAATCAATGGTGAATATACGCCCGGTACTGCCAAAGTTACGCTCTTGTACTTTTCGTGCCCATTCTTGAAAGACTTCATCGATATTTAGTTTAGCACGGAAACTATCGCCATCAGCCTTAAGTTTTTGTCCTTCAATGTGGGATTCCCAACCTTTACCCAAAACATCTTCAACACGTTTTAAATACATGGTAAGTTGATTGTTGATCTGGCGAGCCCAAATGATGGAACCTGCCACCGGGGGCAAATCACGTACAGTAGAAAGACGACAGCTCTTTGACTGAGGGTACTGAACCTATAATTATGGACAACAGAGTTAAGACAATAAAATCCTCAAAAATAAGAAATGAATCTTACTTTGAATTTCTCATGTAAAGCTTCGATGTCATCCTTCACTCTTTGAATAAGTTGAGTTTGATATTCTCGTATTGCTCCTCTAATATGAGGCCGTACGAATAGGGCGTTGAATCGCGAGAAAATTCGGAACATTTCATTGGCATTTTTGGCCGTGCCCAATTGATCACGCAAGTGAGCAGTTATGCGCGTTTCAACACGATCGATACGTTCTTCATAACGTTTCACAGCGGCTTCCCAAGCCTCTGAACCCTCCTTGGAAATATCCAAACAATCCACCTCCTTCACATTCTCATACGCCAAATTGACTTCTTCAATTGCATTGGCATCATCGGCTTCCAAGCTGTAAGGTTGCTTTGTCTCACCCGCATTACTTTCGTTTTGCTGTTGTTGTTTAGTGGGACGCAAAACACGCAAAATGACCGTGCGCAATTGTTCGTGTTGGCGTCTGAATTTGCGCATATGCTCCATGCGGGTTTGTAGCTTCTTATGAGCTGGCGATACACGCCACACCATTTTTAAATGCTCATCGCGTTTCTTTTTGACAATATCACGTAGCAATCCTTGTAGCTTATCATACTCGTCGTCCCAACAACTGAATATTTCAAAACATTGATTCATTACACGCTCGAATTCATCGAACGGAATATGCATAAGACGACGGGTACCCAAAACTTTCAGCAGTTGTTGGGACAAATCGCGAGATATTGCCTCGATAAGCTTAAGACAACGCTGAATGGGATAACGAGTGTTTCGTACTTTGCGCAAGTGAGAGAAAATCTGCTGCACAGCAGGACGAATCTTCTCCAATTCAGTGGCAGAAAGAAGATCGTTTATAGGGAAGTCCTTCATTAAAGGATTATAATCAGCAACCATGGCCAATGCCTGCTTAAGGCCAGTGTCAGTATCAAACGACACGGTTGCATGGAAACGTTTGCCATGCTTGAGAATGTCCAAAGTCAGAGCAACTTCAGGGCTTTCGCGCTTCTCTTGGATACGATAAAGAGCACGCTCTAAATTTAACCAGAATGAAATTTCCTAAACAAAAAAAAGATACTTGTTAACTGATGTGTGAAGTATTATTAACAATAAACTTACCTGCAAAGCCGTGCCCGATGAAGGATCACGATCAAGTTTAGTTACTTTCTTGATCTCCTTAATCCAGCGGTTAACGCCATTTTGCAGTTGATTCAAAAATGACGAATCCTCCACCTTATCACCAAAATCGGCCACTTTGGCTTTGCGATTTTCATCTGCACATTTACGTATGACAGCATTGACGGTATTATGGGCTGTCAAAGTAATTTCCGGTATGTCAATGTTCTGCTGCAAATGCAACAAGCCCATTTCCAGCTCAGCCAACTTCTTTTCCACAGATGGTGCCATTTTGTCACCATCACGATCAGCACGGCCAGATTCTTTGACATATGACTTGAAATAAGGTGCCAAAGATTTACTAATGAAAGCGTGTAAAGTTTCGTATGGTGAACCATCCGAAAAATTGATGAGACGCAATTGGGAATGTATAGATTTGTCGGCTTCGATGACTGTACCGCGTTTAATACAAGCCAACGAGGCCATACGACTGTTGGTAAAATGAACATCATTGCTGATTTGATAGGTGACAAATTCCTTCTCTTCCTCACCCTCAGCTGGTTGCTCATTTTCGTCCTCTGTTAAAGAAAAATAAAAATAGGTTCGTTGAAAAAAATTCAAAAATAAAATTATAAATATAATATTCAAGAAATTTAGATTGAATTCTTTGAAATAATTATTAATATAAATGTATTTTTGGAATAGGTATGTAATTATTGTAATTATTTTTTTTTTATTTTGACCACCATATTTTTTCTGAAATAGGGCAATAAACGAATAGTACATTTAAGGTTGACCTACAGTCTGATAACTTCGCGTTTAATGAAAACAACAACAAATAACAAGAATTACTTGTCGTAAAATCTTTAGATCGATGTTAATACATAAGTAAATAAATAAGTACCAAAATAGATAAATAATAACATAACGATACGATTAAGTCCCTCAACTTCCAATCTACAATGCGACTAGTTTGTCAATCCAATTGTTTGTAAACAAACACTAAACAGCTGTTCTTTATTTATACCGGTCCGGTTTTGCAACATTTCAATTTTGCGAAAGTAATAGAATTGCTACCGTACGGAATTGTAATAGAGCACATAGTATGACTCATCAACTAAAAAATGACGTCAATTTTCAGAAAACCTGCCACTATATCGATTTTTCTAATTGGTAATTGTTAAAATATATATATTTCTTTCCACAAAAGGATTAAAGACATAAAATGTTGGAAGAGTTCCATCGATTCCAACAGGAAAAAACTGAAGAATTTAATGCAAAAACCACTTGACGCCATTTTAGACAACCACAAAAAAACTTTGGGCGTCACCACTTTAAGACATCCCGTTAACATATAACCAACAAATTCATACCTTTCAAACAATTCCTTTGAATATACAAAGCCTGGACCTGAGGATCCGATAAGAATTTTTTAATTTTATCCTGGTTATCTGGATCCTCTAAAGCCACATTTAGAGCCGGTGGCACCACATCCTCCTCCGGCAATAAGATTGTGACGGCTTTGCGTATATAATTGGCGAATGCTCCATAATCCACAATGGTAACATTTTGAACCGCCTCCACCGAAGTATCGGGATTTTCCAAGGAATCACCCATGAAAATTTAGTTGTTTTTGATGAATTTGTTGTTGGTTACACACAATAACTTTTTTAATTTGCAATTTTTCTGCGGAGCGTCGATTGAACACGTCCGCACTTGGTTGTGAAAATCAATCGACTGTGCAGAAAAATAATTTCGTGCTACCAGATCGAAATGTAATTTTATGTGATAGAAAAAATTGTAGTTTTTCATAATGAATGAAGTTACATTATTTTAAAAGAACATTTGATAAAGTGTGTTATATTCCGTAAAATTTATTGTCAGACTTAAAATTCAATGGATTTAAACGATTCTCTGTATTTTTTATGATTTCAGGGTAACTAAAAATATGTGTATTTTATAAAAGCATACATTACAATCTGGCAACATTTATTGACTATATGGATGCAGATGTTGGTATCACTGCTTGGCATAAGGTTTGTTTGTTTACTTTTCCAGTGAGAATTTCCATCCCCAGCATTTACAAAAGACACGTCGAAGAGTGTATATTTGTAAAAAGAGCAAAATTTGCCTGTACAAGACTGGCGTCTAGACAATTGTAAGAACGATAATAAAAGATAGAATAATGCTAAGTTCATATCGACCACTATTTAATAAATATCTACATAATTCCCAACACAAAATTTGTGCAGCGAACCAAAATTTTTATTCTTAGTTTTATTCAAATCACTTTGAGAACTAAGGTGAAATATGTGCCATCCCTAATAAATGATAATAAATTTATCAAAAAAATAAATTATGACATTTGAAATTGAAAAATAGAAAAATTTAATGCAATTATAAAAAGGTTCAAGAAGACTGAAAATTATGAAAGAAAATGACTATGCTAAATTGCATATGTACATTAAAATCAAAGGAAATGTCGTCCACGATTTGAAATTTCCACAGAAACAAATTTCACTTTTTTCAAAATTTTTGTATCGATTTTATTTTGCAAATCAGTGCTTAAAAACAGAACAGTACCAAAATGTATTAAAAATATCAACATTTACACAAAAAGTTCAAACTTTGAATGAAAATTGTAATATTAATGATATAACAAGTTAAAAAATATCAGTCGGTTTTGCCGACAGATGTGCACTATCAGCCAATGTTCGATTATTTAACCCTCTGTGGAGTGGGTTCCGAAGGAATGGGCCAATATTGTCTATTGGGCCGAAAATATTGGACGTGGCGTGCTGACATAAATGTTAAACAGTTAATAAATGTTAATACATATAAAAATATTGATATGGGTAAAATTACAAACAAAACGCACATTTATATCCAATTTAATGCGAAATTATAAATTACAATTCATCTCAGGTTTCTGGTTGAAAGAAATATTAAGCAAGTTTTAAAGAGTCCCTGATTTGTTTCGCATGTTATGACATATAAAATAAGTGAAAATTGTGATCCTTTGCTGGTGAGGTACCAGAAGGGGTTCGCCGATATATATCATCTTCACAACAGATATATGTTTGTATGTGTGAAATTTGAAGAGTGTTCGATGCTTATTTCGCTTTCTTTGAGCGTTCTATTTCCATAATTTTGTACTCTATGGGAAAACCTCATGTTTTATGAGCTTCATATATATTCAAAATTTTGACCCTTTGTGAAGGAGGTACTAGAAGGAGTGGACTGATGTATTTCTTTTTCACACCAGACCTTGGATTAATAAAAATATTGTGATGTGTGTAATTTGAAGATAATTGGACTCTTACATCACGTCTTATAAGAGTTTTTATTTTTCAAAAGTTTTTCCTTTTGTGGGGGAGGTACTTGATGAAGTGGACCAATATTGTCCATTTTCGCACCTGACCAAGCACTGACGCAAATATTAGGATTTGGAATATTGGATCATCCGTTCTCTTTCTGTGCAGTAAAATATTTTCTTTAAACATTTAAACCTCTTGTGGGGGAGGTACTAGAAGGAGTCGACCGATATTGCCCATCTTAACCAGTGTTGCCGTTTGAAATTTTTATTTCAGTCCAAATTTTTTATAAAAACCGCCCAAAATCGACCATATCCGCCCAAACTGTAAAAAGTTGAATAATTTATATGTAGTTTGTATTCAAGTAAATTTTATTGAAAATTTTACACTATACATAAAAAGGTACTCAAGTTTCATTACATTCTATGTATTAAATACATTAGAGATAATAAAAATTTTATGTTATTTTACTTCAAGTTTTTATATATAGTTTTTTCTATAGTATAGTTTATATATATATATATATATATATATATATATATATATATATATATATATATATATATATATATATATATATATATATAAGAGTTTTTATTTTTCAAAAGTTTTTCCTTTTGTGGGGGAGGTACTTGATGAAGTGGACCAATATTGTCCATTTTCGCACCTTACCAAGCACTGACACAAATATTAGGATTTTGAATATTGGATCATCCGTTCTCTTTCTGTGCAGTAAAATATTTTCTTTAAACATTTAAACCTCTTGTGGGGGAGGTACTAGAAGGAGTCGACCGATATTGCCCATCTTAACCAGTGTTGCCGTTTGAAATTTTTATTTCAGTCCAAATTTTTTATAAAAACCGCCCAAAATCGACCATACCCGCCCAAACTGTAGAAAGTTGAATAATTTATATGTAGTTTGTATTCAAGTAAATTTTATTGCAAATTTTACACTATACATAAAAAGGTACTCAAGTTTCATTACATTCTATGTATTAAATACATTAGAGATAATAAAAATTTTATGTTATTTTACTTCAAGTTTTTATATATAGTTTTTTCTATAGTATAGTTTATAGTTAATATATATATATATATATATATATATATATATATATATATATATATATATATAAACTATAAACTATACTATATATATATATATATATATATATATATATATATATATATATATATATATATATATATATATATTATATATATTATCTATATATTTGAGCTGAGTCGATCTAGCTATATATGTCCGTCAGTCCGTCTGTCCATGTTAATTTGTAATCACTCTATAGGTCGCAATTATGGCCCGATCTTCACAATTTTAGATAGATATATAGAAATTTAGCATGGGGCTAGATTTTGGACCGGGCAGAAGCCTTCCAATTTTGATGGTCATTGGGTAATATTTAGTGGCTTAGTAGACCATAGCATTTGCGATAAATAAAAGTCAAATTTTCCATTAATCCGCGAATATTTTTACTGCCGGCGAAATCACAAATAGACGAACAGGTCAATTCTGACCGTTACGTAGATGCCGATAGTAAAAATATCGGATATATATATAGAGAAATATATACAATGTATATATACAAAGAAAGGGGATGTCAGCTAGAATGCTTATATCTTCAGAATGGCTATAGCGATTTTGACAAATTTTGTCAATTTAGAATGCCCTTGTGGCATTAAAGTATAAATACTAAAAAATCGCATAAAAAGATACCAATAATGATGTTCATATAGATTTTGTAGTATTTTGTGACAGTATTTGTTTTGTAATATTTTTTCACTTTAGGGTTATTATTTATATACAGATTGCAATTATCGTTCGATCCTCACGAAAATTTTCACAAGGGTAGGTTTGGGCTCAGAAGGGCAAGCCCTATTGTTTTCAAAGATGTTCGCAATATATTTAGGGGTTGAAATTGGCCAGCAACTCAAAATGTTCCTGATTTTGCAGCCGTTATAAAGGTCCCAAATATAAACCTAGGGACACGAAATCTCGCATGAAGTTAGAGCTTAGGAAGCGGGTAGAATGGACCACTACTTTTGTGTAAAAAAATACCAACATTACTTACAGGCGATATACAATAGGCGAACTTCTGGCTTTTTTATGTTGATTTCGTTGACGAATAAGCCAAATATCGTAGACAAGCAAATCATATAGATGAGTCTAAATTTGGAGACACAGAGGGGCCTCTTGCTTTTGGAGATGATCGCAAAATATTTAGGGGTTTAAATGAGCCAAAAACAGAAAAAAATTTCCTGATCGCACAATTGAAGCCAATCGACACGCCTGAGAAGATAGGTAAGCACAGGGAAGAATTCTGGCATTTTGGATGGCCATTGTAATATATTTAGCCGTAAAATGGATCACAAAAACTAACTGCACGACGGAGTGCATAAATATTGGGAAAATGTCCCTGGTCAAAATGCTAAGGGTAATATCTGGGCAGTGCTCCGTGACATAATTTCAAAAGCGAAATTTTCCAAAATGGATTTGGACATGAGGGGACTTCTAACATATTGTAGTGTTGTAGGGTATCACATATATATTATTAAAAAGCTTAATAAAAATCCATAAAATAAATTACGATTCATCTCAATAAAAAAATATAAAATTCAGTTAGTAATAAAAAAATTAAATTACGTAAAAATAAACAATGAAAAATAAATTTGTACCCAATATGGAAAAAATCCGCCCAAACCACAAAATTTATCTTTTTTCCGCCCAAATTTGGACGGAAACGCCCAAAACGGCAACACTGATCTTAACACCAGACCTTGGGTTAATAAAAATATTCGGATGTGTGAAATTTGAAAACAATCGGACTCTTACATCACATTTTATAAGAGTTGTAATTATTCCCTATTTTGACCCTTTGTGGGGTAGGTACTTGATGGAGTGGGCCGATATTATCCATTTTCGCACCTGACCTAGAACTGACGCAAATATTAGGATTTGCAAAGTTCAAACAAAATCTGATTATCGTTTCTCTTTCTGTGCAAAAAATGTATTTTGTGAGAATTTCGACCTTTTGGGGGGAAGTACCAGAAGGAGAAGACCGATATTGCCAATTTCCGATCTCAATCTAAGTTTGACAAGGATATTACGGTGTACCAAGTTTGGATTAAATTCGAGAACATCACTAGATCGGCTCCAAATGTCTTGAAACTGATTTGGTCCAAAGATATCTAGGGTCTAAAATCGTTATTTCGACTAGGCACATTATAACCGTATTTATATTTAACTAGCCATATGGCAGAGGGTATAATTAACAACATACAAATATCTACAATTACTTTAATTTGTTTTAAAAAGCTAGAATATTACACATTGCATTTATAAAAATCATTACATGTTGCATATACTTACATAGCAATAATATGTCAAAATAAATTATTTTTTTTTAAATTCTACGGGATGAATTACATACATAATGAATTTTTAACTGACCACTGAAGTGATACATGCTCAAATTTAGGAATATCAAAATATAACTTTTATGTATTCCCAACTTTAGAAAAAATTTTTCAATTTTTTAAAGGCATTTTTACAATAGCGAAAAAAGACGGCCCTAATGTCATATGGATTGTTTAATCTATTACAATCAAATTCATATGCGAGAACAGCTGTTTACATATTTTTCTTTTTTTAAGCCGCTAGACTATCGACTATATAATTGTTTTTGTTTAGCATCATTCTTTCGAAATTTATTAATTAAAGTAACATTAATATGAATATATTTCTACGGAAAGGTCTATTACAACAAATAACTAACATCTCCAGAAGACGATGGCTGACGCAGGCTTGTACGGAATCTAAAGTAAGTCGACTATATTCAAGTGATGCAATCAGTTCATCTCCTATTTTTTACAATTAGAGTTCAGAACTGACAAAAGATGTAAAACATCGCATCGAACAGCATTGGAGAAGTTCTCTTGGTCAGGGTAACTTTGATCTAAAAGGATTGGACAATAAGTTTTACGTTCTGTCGATGTTTCCCTATCCCTCGGGAAATTTACATATGGGCCATGTGCGAGTATATACTATCAGCGATACTGTGGCACGATTTCAGCGTATGTGTGGCTTTAATGTCTTCCAGCCAATTGGATGGGACGCTTTTGGTTTGCCTGCTGAGAATGCAGCAATACAGCGTGGCATTGAGCCGAAAGTATGGACGGAACATAATATTGCCCAAATGAAGAAACAATTAGAAGATTTGGGATGTTCCTTTGATTGGAAACATGAAATGTCGACATGTAGCCCAGAGTACTATCGATGGACACAAAAGTTGTTTCTCATGCTGCACAAAGAAGGATTAGCTTATCAGAATGAAGCTCTGGTAAACTGGGATCCCATTGACAAGACTGTACTGGCAGATGAGCAAGTGGACGCCAATGGTTGTTCGTGGAGATCGGGAGCAAAGGTGGAGAAGAAACTTTTGAAGCAGTGGTTTATAAAAACTACTGCATTCGCTGAACAACTTTTGGACGGTTTGGATGACCCAACACTTATCGATTGGCGCGATATAATAAATCTGCAAAGACATTGGATAGGAGAATGTGATGGTTATGGCTTCCAATTATTGACATCGGCATCCATTATTTTGAGATTGTGGACGGCAAATCCTGAGCATTTTAAAGATCCAAATGCGTTTGTTGTACTTAAAACCAGCCACTATCTGGCCAAAGACAAAAGCAACTCGTTTAGCATTACAATTGAAAATCCTTTTACAGGTACCATAATGCCGGTTATATTTAGTGATGCACCAGTATTTGCGGATAAGTGTGATGTATATTTAGCTGCGCCTAGTTTTCGGGATGAGGATAAAGAATTACAAGAGTCTTTGAGTTTATCTTTCTTCGCAAATGAGGAGTTGAAAATTGAAAAGAAAAATGTAGAACAAATGCGACTACAGGTGTTGGAAACCGCCAAGAGACTAAGATTGGGAGGTTATAAAGTATCGTCAAAACTACAAGACTGGCTAATATCAAGACAGCGTTACTGGGGAACACCAATACCCGTTATACACTGTGATATGTGCGGTGTAGTTCCAGTTCCTGACGAAGACCTCCCTGTTATACTGCCGGAAAAATCAGAAATTGATAAAAATCGCGAAGAGGCACTTAAATGCACCTGTCCCAAATGTCAAAACCCAAATGCCATAAGGGAGTCAGATACCATGGATACGTTTGTAGACTCTTCCTGGTATTATTTGCGTTTTTTGGATCCAGAAAATACAAAAAGTATATTCGATGAAAATGTCATATCTAAAGTTATGCCAGTCGATTTGTACATTGGAGGGAAGGAACACGCCGTCTTGCATTTGTATTATGCTCGCTTCATGAACCATTTTCTACATTCACAAGGTCTTGTAAACTGTTCCGAACCATTTTCACGCCTACTAGTCCAGGGAATGGTGATGGGCCGTTCATTCCGCGTTAAAGGCAGTGGACGTTACGTACAAGAGCATGAAGTTGAGATTGTAAATAGCAAAAAGAACCAGGCAGTTTTGAAGGAAACCAAAGAACCAGTGGTAATGACATGGGAGAAAATGTCTAAATCAAAAATGAATGGGGTTGATCCTACCGACATGTTTCGAGATTATGGAACTGATACCACGCGACTGATCATATTGGCCGATGTGGCACCCACTTCACACAGGAATTGGTCCAGTGCGAGTAAGTATATTATACGATTGAAAATAAGTTAACACCTATTGTTACAGTAGGGTCAGATCAGTATTTAAAATCAGCTTTAATTACTGATCTAAATAGTGTATACATATATTATTCGTTGTTGCAGGCGTCCGAGTTCAATATTTAATTTTTTTATATAACTGTTTTCTAGCATTTCCCGGGATTCTGAATTGGCAGAAACGCCTTTGGCTAACAGTAAATGAGTTCTGCGAATTACGATCTTCCCCGGAAGAAGTCAAAGCTGATATTAATTCCAAAGAATTCCAAGAAGAGGAGGACAAAATGTTTGATGCCAGAAATTTCTACGTTAAGGGTGCCACATTCAATTATCGTCACACTCATCAGCTAAGTGTGGCTATATCCAAAATGCAGGGCCTTACAAATTCGCTAAGAGTAAGTTTTTGAAAATATTTTTTACTTTTTAGTTTATTTCACATCAACAATACATAATTAATGTTTTATTTTTAAAGCGCGTCGCTAAACCTGTTATGCGTTACAGCAAACAGTATGAACGTGCTTTGGCCTCACAAATTATTATGTTGGCACCTATGGCTCCACATTTCGCGTCGGAGTTGTGGTCCAAGTTTGCTTCTGCCAGTAATCGCATTAATTCATCATCAACCGAGTTACAGTGGGACAAAGATGTATTGTCACAGAAGTGGCCCGAAATTGATCAACACTACCAGTTGGATTTGGCTATCAAAGTAAACGGCTTTGAAAATTGTTGCATTAAAATTCCTCGTAGTCATATCGATAAAGTAACACACAACGATGCTTTGGATTTGGCATTTAATACGGACTCAGTAACGTCATATTTAATAGACAAAAAGATTCGCACAACAAATTTTGTTTTATATCCGGGCATTGAAGCAATTCTTAATATTTATGTGGACAAGGTGAAAGAGGAAAAGAAAACGTCTTCGGAAAAAGCCACTGAAGATGTTGGACATTAGTATATAATTAATATTACAATTTTTTGTCTATGGTTACACTTACAATAGGTAATTGTTTATAATGGTAATTTATGTTTATATTTAAGTATACTTTTGAAAATAAGAATTTACACATACTAACACTTTGAAAATGTAAAAAGAATAAAGCTATAGAAATTCAAAGCAGTTAAAAAGCCAAAGTGTTTGTTAATAATTAAAATATAGTGGTATTTGACATTTGTGAATGTATTAAAGAAATTATAAAAATTAACAATTGACCAGAAATAATAAAAATTACTAGAAACTCTAGGCTCATTTCCTTAGGTGAAAGACTCTACAGTCATTTCAATAACGCAAATACAAAATCCACTCCTTTGGTATTTTCAGCGTGAGCCGAGATCAATATGTCAAGCTTGGAAAATTGGACGTGAAATTTATTTGTTTATTTTTTACTTATGAGGGCGGAACCAAAAGTGATTAAGATTTTCAAAAAGCTATATGAGTTATACCACAACCTTTATGTGTATCAATTTACATATCGAAAACAAGTAAAATAGTATCAGTCGGTTTTGCGGACAGATGCATGCCCCCAGCCTTGAGGTATGATTATTCAAATTGTTAACCCTTTATGGGGGAGGTTCTGAAGCAGTTGAACAATATTGACCAATTCTGAAGCAGTTGCACAATATTGACTAATTCTGACCTAAGACTGAAAAAAAATTTCAAACGTGCCAGATTTGGACTATAACAAATACTTCCTATACTTTATATGAGATATGCGCAATTTTTTGGAAAATGTGGTAATATGCGTGAGGAAACAGATATAGTGGACAGAAGCATTCCATTTTCATGCTTCATCTAATACAGATACAAATATTGGTATGTGCAAAATTTGAAAAAATCGCATTTTTTGCGAAACCATAAATTCCGATAAATTATATATTCATATTATATTTCTGGTTAAGAGAAATATTTAGATATGGCATGTTGTAAAGAATTGCCGACTTGTTTCGAAATTTATGACAGATATAAGTATTGCAAATTGTGACCTATTGTGGGTGAGGTACAAGAAGAGGTTGGCAGATGTATATCATCTTCACAACAGATCTTGCATTTGCAAAAATATTTGACTGTGTGAAATTTGAAGAGAGTTAGATGCTTATTTGCCTTTCATGAGTCCTATGTGGAGGAAGTACCAGAAGGAATAGTCCGATCTCTACCATTTTTATAACAGATCTTCTGCTGATGGAAATATTGAGATGTGCCATGTCTAAATGGAATCGGATGTTAATTTCGTGTTTTATGAGCTTCATGAATGTTCAAAATTTTGATCCTTGTGGGGAAGTAGCAGAAGGAGTAGACCGATACATTCCACCAGTATTTGGAATAATAAATATATTGTGATGTGTGTAATTTGAAAACAATCAGACTCTAACATCCCATTTTATGAGAGTTATATTTATTCAAAATTATGACACTTTGTGGGTAGGTACTTGATGGAGGTGATCGATATTGTCAATTTTCGCACCTGACCTAGCACTGATGCAAAATATGACGACTGGCAAAGTTGGAGCAAAATCGGATTATCCTTTCTCTTTCTATGTTTTACAATAATATTGCGATGTTCCAAGTTTGGATTAAATCGCATACTCATTTCGAGAGTTCTCGTGCACAGTCAGACAGACGGACGGACAACGTCCTTAAACGGATTTGGTCTAAAGAGACCTAGGGTCTAAAGCCGTTATTTTGATGAGGCACTATTTGGCCGTATTATGCTATATGGCTGACGATATAATAACACAAAACCTGTAGGTTAAAAAACGTTGGGTTTAAAGGTTTACAGAAATGTATACACAAAATATACAAGCAGAATCTGTTAATGATGCTACCACTTTCCTGCCTGACTTTTCCAGTAAAAAGTTTTTTTTTTTTAACGTCATTCTCAGCGATTGCCACTTTCTCCTCAATTTTCTTTTAAATCGCAAAATGGCTATTCTTTTGTTGCGCTTTGTATCATTTAAGCTTCGCTTATTTGAAACTTTTTAAGGCGATAACTGATCTATCATGGCTGCCATACATTCCGATTTGTAAGGAGCTACCGGTGCGAGCATTTAAGGTAATATAGAGCACTTTAAAGTCCAAAAAAGTCGTAAATGTTAAAAAAAAACTTTTTCTATAAAAATTGGGCCATACTTTGTATGTAACAAAACACCATTTTCTATTATGTACGTATACTTTTTATTTATTATAATTTTTATTAGTTCTATACTAAAAAAATTATATTACAAATTCATAGTTTACTTAAATACTACATTATATGTATTGGTCTTGGTCCTGTGTTGAAACAAATTGTATAATTGGTCTAGACCATAACTTGTTTCGTATATGTTATTGTTATAAACAAAAACTATTTCTATTGTTTCTGTTTCGATGTGGCGATACGAGATAAAGGCGAAGGAAAAATACCATTCCAAATATTTTCAAATTTTTGATTTAATTAAAATTAAAAAAACTTATTTGGAATAGTGTTTTTTATTTCATTCGTTCATAATTATATCGCCATGTATTGTAAATACAAGTACATACAAATGTGCACATATGTTTATTAAAATCTATATGGTTGTCTGTACATTCATACAATAGGGCTATGACTTGTTGGAATTTCTCTAAAATGATTTTCCGTATCACGAATGAATCAACTTTTACCTATTAAGGTCTAAAATAACACTTATTCCATTTGAATATTTAGAAAAGTCTCTCTTTACATAGAAAGTTGCTACAACTCCTGCCGTAATAAGGGCAAACTCCTAGCGAGATTAATCCTTGGGTCAGTAAATATTTAATTTCATTCTTTGTAAAGATTTAACTTCTTTCATTGCTAAAAGCTTTATTTATCAGCTTTCGTGAGGTTGTAAAAAAGTCATAACCCTAATACACACAATACAATTTTGCAACTTTTACCAAAATTGATCAAAATTTTAAATGTACAATATTAAACAATAAACAATCACTAAAGAAATAACAAATGTCGGGCGTGGCCGATATATGGTACATACACAACTATGTATGAAAAGTAAATCATATCCACTATACTTGTTATTGTTGCCTGCTACTACTTTAGAATGGTAAAAATTTAAATTGGGCTGGAACTATAACTAAATCGATTTGCACCAAATTTAATGGAGGAATTCGTATGTTGCATGTGACCTCTATATTTGAATATCATTGCTATAGAGTGCATGTTATGACTATTAGAAGGTAAAATATATATCAGAGTAAAAGCTGTTTCTGAACGGAATTAGTCCAAACTTGGCAGACTTTATTCTAGCCAGAACTTGCTTGTACAGGGTGAGATGAATAAAACTCCAACCAACTTCAGACTGCTGTCATTTCTAAGTCACTCGTCAGACAGCTGTTAAAACTATTCCACTGGCAGCTCAATATAATTTTTACAAGCGCACAAAAACATTTTGGTGAGAATTGTCCAGAAAAAAAGTTATTCGTGATGGAATTCAAGCGTGATAGTGTGATTTCTTTATATTTGGCTGGAAAACCAGCGTAGTCCGACGTCAAGGAAGTGGACGGAAAACAGTAACATCAGCCGAAATGGTTCGAAAAGTAAAGAAGCGACTTGATCGCAGTGGACGAAAAATAGCTCGCGAGCTGAACATATCACAATATTATATTCGACAAATAAGGAAAAATGAGCTCGTGGTATACCATTGGAATTCCAAAAAGTGCAAGAACTTACACTGCAACAGAAAGAAATTAGACTCAAAAGAGCTAAAGAGTTGTTTCGCTTGGCAGAAAGTGGTGAACTGCCGAATTTGGGTTTCTCCGATGAGAAAACATTCGTTGTCCAGCAGTTTGTAAACAAACAAAATGATCGTGGATCCTGTTTACTTGGCAAAGAGGTCAGCTGAAAATGTGCACCTTCAGTTGACCACAAGAACTCAAGCGCCGGCCATGGTGATGGTGTGGACCACCATAACAGCCGATGGTCGCTATCCACTCGTATTAATCGACCGTGGCATTAGAATAAATGCGAATATTAAAGTCTTGGGCACGCAAACATTTTGGCCGTAGACCTTGGACATTCCAACAGGACTCAGCACCATCGCACTCAGCCCGCGCCACCCAAGAATGATTACAAAATGGGGTTCCTCGCTTAATTTCCAGCCTACAATGGTCTCCAAATCTCCGGATACCAAACCGTTAGACTATTGTGTCTGTAGTATTTTGGAAAGCAAGGTTGACACTAAAAATACCAAAGTGTCGATAACTCCAAGCAAGCGCTTCGCCGGGAATGGGTCAAAATAAGGCAGAACAAAATTCGAGCAGCGTATGACGGTTTCATTGGCCGATTGAAGGCCATAATTCGTACCAAAGGTGACCAATTCGAACAAATCTAAACTTATTCTAAAATTTGATGCTATTTCCGACATTTTTTGCTTTCATTCAATAAAATTTAAAAAGAAAATGTAAAAATTATGCTGTTTGACTTTGTTGCAGTTTTTTTTATCTCACCCTGTATATGTAGAAGGTTAATACCGGAAATGTTTCAAATATGAAGTTCCAAATGTGTAGTATTCAGTTGAAAATTGCATATAGCACCCATATAATGGGTCCTCCTTAAGTTTGGTATTTTGATGTTTTAGCGACATTATCCATCGGTATTGTATCCACGATATTGTATAGCCCACATATAACGGTACCTCCGATATTCTGATTTTATTAATTTAGCCACATATTTCAATAGAATTGTCTGAAATTCTACATAAGGAGTTCTTCGTGATTGCTTCACCCTCTGAAAGAGAATTGTCTATATAGGCCCACGATATCGAGTATCCCCCACATAACGGTACCTCCCAATATTCGTTTTTTGATGATTTTAGTCATATTTGTTAATAGAATCGTCTGAAAGACTACACAAGGTGGTCCCCCGATATTCGGTATTTTGATGATTTTAGCCACATTTTTAATGCAATTGTCTTAAAATCCTCAATGGAATTCTCAGAAAAATTCTGAAAGAGAATTGTCTCTATATAGGTCTATATATATTTCCATGATGTTTAAAGTTCGTAATGGATACTACAGCCTATGACACCGATTTTTTTTTTTTAATTTCGCATTAGAATATTGTAATGGGTTTTGTAAGATTTCAACAGAATTTTTAACGGACTTTATTTTTTTAATATTGCCAAATTCGATATAAATAATGGAGGGTATTCAATGTTAGGCCTGGCCGAACTTACATCTTTTTTACTTTTTCCCAGTAACTTCTTCTTGAGTAAATGTTACTGGGATTGTAATGTTATACGTTAGCATGATATTAGGTGTGTCTGGTTACCCTAAAATTTGTAACAATTGTTACAAATTGTTACTGGAAGTCGTCTGTTAACCCGAAAGTTCTGCAAAAGAGAGCGGTTGGAGAGAGAAATTTTGACAGTTCTTTCAGTGAGAGTTTGCAAATTCTTGCTGGAAAAATTTCTTCTTGCAATCTCTTGCAACTCTTCTTCTTCTCATTCATCGACATTCAATCAGATGTTTTCTATTGTTTATTTATTTCTTTTTGTGATTTTAATTTGAAAATATTGTTTTGGAATTAGCAAGACTGATTGTTTTTGGAGAACAACTTTACAAAATGTGAAAAACGTAAATGTTAATATGTAATAAGAAAATAAAAGACTATTTCCAACATTTTTATTTAAAAAACTTGTAAAATTAGTATTGGTTCCTTTGTTTTAATTCTCCTTATGGGGGACAAATTGGTTTGTTTTGACAAATCAGCTGATTAGTTGCAAGCTTCTGCAGGAATAGCGTCTGTTTACTTTTCGCATTTTCCTTGCAAAAGAGAATAAAACTACCTTACTCTCTCAGAAAGAAGTTGCTGGACAATTCCTGCTGGAAAAGTAACCAGACACACCTATTACCTTGTATAATTCTGCCATGCATAAATCATACCTCACTACTAAAGTTTATTTTTAATTCTGGGTATTTCTGTCCACTCTTGATTGTGAATAATGTCTAAATAGGACATGTTTATGTGTATCCAAATTTTAGTGGATATTTAACAGACAAGGCTGTTTTAATAAGAGTTGCTTGATTTTGCTGAAAGAAATTTCTCTTGAAAATGTTGAAAGTTCTAGCAAACTCAACCACCTGTTTTGAAATATTCATTTTTTATATTTACTATTCATTTTGCACTGGCACAACAAATAATTTATTACATTTTTACCTAATCAGTTTGAAATTTTAATGTAAATGTATGTAAATACATACAATTTCAGCTTGGATGCAATTTAAACTTAAAATTCTTCTTAAATGCATTCACTTCATTATTTCGGTCATCAAATCACGAATATACACGTCCAATTGTGCATAGTCTAATAAGGTGTTGCGTACAATATTCAATAGAATCATCGGCCATAACTGTTCCAGTCGGTGTAGTTTCTCCACGGCATGGCAGGTATTTTCCATTATTATGGTGAAATGGATTTTGCCACGTTCTCGTTGTGTTAGCGCTGCCAAGTGTGACGCCGATGATAAGGATGGACCCGAGTTAGCTGGGGAAGATAATGAGCCGGATAATGAGGTAGTGGATTGTGTAAACCAGGGTGATAGCGATGACAGCGACGATGATAATGATGGCATTAATAATGAGTGTTGATTGAAATCACTGGCTGTTGTTGCCTGAAGAAACTGCAATTGTAATTGTCTGACCTGCTGCGGCGTGGGCAGCGTGTGTGGCTCTTGCTGGTGCAGGTGGTTTTGTTGTTGATGCTGCTGCAGGTGGTGATTCGAATGATGTGACTTTTTCCATTGTAGCGCCTCCTTGCCCACAACTAAACGCAGAGACCGGTTATCCGGCTTCAGTAGCCACTGTTTGGGCAGCATTTTACTAGCCGAACAGGATTCATCCAAACGCAAACGTGCCAACAAAGGATGCAGCATTGCATCTGGCATCGACCAGAGTATTAAATCGGAAAGACCAACATAAATGCTGTTGGCCTGGTCGACATCTTCCGCTGTTACTTCAAGACCATTTAGCGTTTTGAGGCCCCAATGGGATAGGCGATAAATGGCATATTGGCGCCAGAATTCTTTATTGGTCAGCGGGTTGCCCTCCGGGTCGATATAGAGCGAGGTAAGACCCTGCAATTCGGCCAGCGCATTTAATTGGCCCAGACAGTGGATGTTCGTTTCACGGAACACAAAATGTTCGGCATGCGGAAAACGTATCTTGATGCGTGACAATATGGCGGTGATGTTATTGAAATTGATGTAGCTGAAATTTAAGGTATGAACATCATTGGCTTTTGTGGGATTCCATTGTTTGTCGATAAAACGTAAGGCGCCTTGGCCATAAATGTTGAGATAACGACCACAAATCTCAATCAAATAGTCACCGCCTTGCTCACGTTCACGTTCAATGGCAGTGAGTTTCGATGATGTCGCAGCAGGTCCAGTGGCATTTGGATTTGTGCATGCAGAGGATATTGTTGCTGGTACGCTTGTGTTCCCTATACTCATGGTGCTTAGCTTATTGGCATTGACCGTTGTTGTTGTTGCTGTTGAGTTGTTGCAGCTCGCTGGACTATCGTCATGTACGGATGTTGATGGTATTATGTGGTGTGGTGGTGTTGCATAGTGCTGAGGCGCACATGTTGTCGTTGCCGTTGTTGCTGCTGCCGCCTGTTGCTGGGCGGCTGAACTAGCCGGATTCAGTTTAGCCGAGTGATAGCGTAAAATGTTGATGTTATTGGCGGTCACTGTTGTGGTGGTGTTGACTGAGATTTTGCTGTTGCTGTGGTTGTTGTTGCTGTTCGTATTGACATTTGCTTTAATCGCATATCCTCCATTGAATCCACCTGTACCCACAATTGTCTGGGATCTCATTAAGGAGCTGGGTACATAGCGTTTGCTCGCACCAGCCGTTATTGCTCCAGTCGTGGATGTTGTTGTCTTGGGCAATGGCGGTGTAGTGGTCATCAATGCCGTTGAGGTGTTTGATGAGGATGCCGATAGATTTGCATTTATTAGGGATGTTTGATTTGAATTTGGGCTTTGATGCTGTGACATTCTGCTGTCATTTGAGGAGTCTAAGGGAAATTCTATTGTCAGAGTGGGAGTGCACGAGCTGGCCGTTTGGTCAGTTTTCAATTGATCTTCTGGTGCATTTGTCGATGATACTGTTGTCATTGGAGAATTTTGAGTTGACGTCTTATCTCTCAAATCTTCTTCGGCATCCTGTTCATCGGCTGATGTATAGCAACTGGAGGAAGAGTTGACATTGGGTCCCAAGCTTGAGGCTGTGGATGAATTATGTTCTTCTCGTGTCTGTTGTTTGTCCTCGCTGGTCACGGCTGCCTCTATGGGTGGTAGTTTTAGAAATTCTTCATAACTCTGCTCATTGGTTTCATTGATCTTTTCCAATTCCATGTTGTTGCGTTTGGGACCTTTTAATTTGTTGCCAGCGGGTGTGACATTATTGGCGGTCACATGGGAAGTTTGCAAAAACTGCTGCGATCTGAGCAATTCCCAGTTGGTGCGGGCATTGGAGATGATTTCTTCACGCCTTATCAAATTGAAAGCTTCCTTATTGCCCTGTTGATTGCTCTGCTGGGATAGTTCTTTATTACTGCGCCAGGTCATGGCGGCCTGGCGTACCTGTTCCGTTATAGGCATTTGACTTAGGCTCTGCAGTTTTGGCAAATGACTGACCAAAAACGATACACAATCTCCGGCCAGTGATACGGGGTTATTTTCTATGGTTATTTCGATAATATTAAAAGCCTGTGCTATGCTTGCCATATCGTCGACCTTGTGCAGGTCGTTGTGGCACAGCCACAGACGTTCCAGTGAACAAAGATGTTGAAAGCCATTAACACGTTTCAATTTGTTACGTTTCAAATTCAGCTCCTTGAGATTGGCCAGACCCAAAAAGTCGTTATGATTGATTTGACGTATTTGGTTACCGGCTAAATTCAGCGACTTGAGTTCCTTGAGGCAGTTGATTTTATTGGCAATGGAACAGATTTTATTGCCATGCAAATCTAAAACTCTCAGCGTCGATTTCAAGGAACTCAAACCGGAAATGTCTGATATGCGATTTTTGCCCAAAAGCAAAACACTCAGGGAACCGAGGCCATCCAAATTGGAGATACGCTCAATTTGATTGTCATACAAATCGAGAAAAACTAAATTTTTAAAAATATTGCCGTAACTAATGAGCAATTGTTTATTTTTGATCTCCAACTCGGTGCCTGTGATTTCCACACTTCGCTCTCCGGCGTCGTGAGTGATGCCATCCGAATTTGTTGGATATGAGCTGTCAGTGGTGGCCGTTGTAGTCACTGTCATAGTACTAATGGCCGAAGACGTGGAATCAATGCTCATTAAATTTCCGGAATTTTCCAGTCTTTTAAGAAGATTTGAGCGTTGAGGTTTAAGGCCGCGCTTGTTAAGTTGATATTGCAATTGGAAATTGTTGACAAAACTTTTTGACTTGCGCATGGAAAAACGCATGGCGGTGTCGCAAGATAACTGCTGGTTGGAAGCTGGCTGTTGTAAATGTAATTGATTCAAATTTATGGAGCGTTGCAGTAATGCATTTCTTGGCAGCGGCGTATAGGAGATTGCAGTGCCACCCCCATGAGCGTTACTTAAATTGCTTACGGTCAAAGGAGATGAAGGCGGTGCATATGGCCGGCTATGTGAAGCATTGGCCTGCTGCTCATGATTAGGTGAATTTGGAGGAAAACTAAATTTATTATGGCTTATTGGAAAGTGGGTATTCAATTGCTGCTGCTGCTGTTGGTTTTCCTTCGCTTCTGTGAACAATTTAACTTCCTCCTTGGGTATGTGAAATGTATTGATGAGATTATGCTGCAGCGACAACAAACGTAAATTTGGCTCATTTTCAAATATGGGAATTGCGGTTAGTCCCCGTTTATCATAATTAATGCGATCCGGCAGCTTTTCCTGGTCTTTGGGATTACGTTGTATGCGGCAAATGCCATTCGGCTGTGGTATGACAATCGCACTGTTTGGCGTGGCGCAGGTGGGTGTACCCATGCTGGGTGTTGTTGCTGTTACCATAGCCAATGATGTATTGGGGCGATTGGATGCCGAATTCGAAGAGGATGTTGATTTAGATCTTTGACGATTTATATTTCCACGAACTGGTGGTCTTCTGCGCACATTTTGGGGTAAATGTTGGGCGGCTTTTGTCTTTAACATTTTCGGTAAAGGTGAATTGGAGGCAGGAGTCGATTTCACAGCACCACCAACATTAGTGCCATTGTGATTTGCAGCTACTCCCAAGTTAATGGCTAAATTCGTATTCAGCCGTTTCTTGAGGGCTGTTGTAGATAAAGTACTATAAGAACGCCTAATAATCTTATTAGTATTGTTGTTATTGTAAGAAGGACGTGTGGTATTTAGACTAGGAACAAAGGGTTCTATTTTCAGCAAATTTGTTGTGGTCGTTATTGTTGCAGTGTTTTGAGGTAGTACATTTTTATTATTGCTAATATTCGATATGACAGTTGTTGGGACATGGCCGGCTAATATTGGAACCGAAGCTATGGCTGCTATGGTAGCCATGGTGGAGTTTGTGCGTTTTTGTGTTTGTTTCTCTGAGACATTTCCTACTGCAGTCGACACTATTTTCGACTTTTGTTTGTGTAATTTCTTTGGCAAGTTTTCGGTTTGTAAAATAATTCCATCCAACGCTACCGTTTGCGTTTTTGTATTCGGCTTATTTCTGGCCATATTGGCCACTGGCGAATCCAGAGTACTTCGTTCATTATTACCGTCATTTACATTGGAACCTTTTGCTATCGAAGACCTTACTTGTGTTTTTGTTATAGACATTCCACAATTTTCAATTTCAAAGTAATTTTTGGTTTCATAATCACTATACACATGATTTATAACAAAAACCCAATTATTATACTTTTGTTCTTATCTCCCATTTCAAATGACACCGAACACATCTTTTTGTTTTATTAAAATTTCTGGATTATGGGAAATTTCAATCTGGTTCTATGTTCTTGTTTTGTGCCCTGTCATTCACTTTATTTTAAAATTCTCATGATCCATGTACCAATAATCCAAAGCAAAAATTCTGACTAACAGTATGTGTTCTATTTATTAGTTTGTTTATTTGTCGTTGCTCCTATCCCCATATATATTCGGTTGCTATAGTTTGTTATTGTGAACTGGCTGGTATTTATTCATCTGCAATTCTTTGAGCATTGCTTTGCCCCTTGGAAAAAAAAATTCTCGTAATTATAGTGACCATTGCGTTTGATGAAAAAATTGCATAGAACAATAGGCGGAATTTATGGTGAATGGCATATGAAACATTTCTGCTGAGCTTTGAAATTGGACAGGAAAACTTGTATTATATCTTTTATTTTTTGTTGGCCTTAAAATGCAAGAAAAAATCGTTTGGAAAATCAGTTGATAGCATATATAGTTTTGCAACACCTCTTTTTTCTCAAAATATTCGTCGGATACACAATAATGTATATACATATATTCGCGATCAGCGTAAAACTCCATGTTGATTTTGTCATGCATGTCTTCTGTAGAAAAACACTTTGGAGGTCGAACTTTTAGTGTTTTGCTTAGGCATAGACATTACTCCTAGGATATTTGGTATTGAAAATGGTTCGGGTTTTGGTATCGGTATCTCCTGATATTCAGTATTTTGGAAATGCTGCCCATTTTCTAAGTATTAAATGTAAGTAGATTTACTTCTCGAAAAATTTCAATGAGACTTAATTTTTGTTGCAGTCAAAACTGTACAAGGTACTGTTACTTGGATGAGCGGGAGGTACTGGATTTTTCGCTTTATATCCTTCATTATTGTAGCTTTGACATTCCGTTTGTAACTCCTCGAAATATTCATAATAGACCCTATAAAGTATATGTATCTAAGACGAATTAGCGATGTCCGTCTGTCGGCCTGTCTGTCTTTTGTAATCACGCTATCATTCGAAAGAATTAAGATAGAAGGCTAAGATTTTGCACACATGTGTATTAGGCAGATTAATATCGCATATGAGCTATGTTGGTCCGCGTTCTCGTAGAGCCTCCATATAACGGTATCTCCCTTTTTTGATAATTTTAGCGACATCATTCACCCGAACTGCTTCAAATTTCGTATTCGAAGCCTATGCCTAAAAATTTATATAGCCTCTATATAACGGCACATCCCTTTATTCGGTATTTTGATGATTTTTAGCGACATTATTCGACGGAATTGTTTCAAATTTCAAAAAACATAAATCCTTATGCATTTCCACGTCTTCGTATATTTTTAGGAATTTTTGAAGTTTCTTTCCATTAAAAATTCGACCCGGCCGAACTTATCAGCTTTTTTACTTGTTTTTTTTTTAAGTTTCGGCCCAAATTTCCAACCAAATAATCTGTAATTTGACATTTTAAATTCTTAGTGGATACTTTGCTGTCATGATTTTTTTTTTGTCGTATGTGCCAAACTTCATTTTATTTGGGCTGTCACATTACACTATCCCGAAACTGGTTAGAAAAGGGACCCCTATGGTTACAAGTTTTCGTATCTACTTCGGAACTTCTTTGACAATTTTTACCAATTTCGGAGAGGTACAAAAACGTGGACCCACAGGGAATCATTTTAGGAAATTTTGAAATTTTAATCATGAAGACATTCGACATTGTACGAAAAGTACTAAAACGAATTAACAAACTACTTTTTAAATCAAATGAAGCGACTGCGAAGCTCTGATTTGTATACCCTCCACCATTCTATATTCATAATATACCCTAAAAAGTACATATGTTCTGGATAAGCGTAAAATTCTAAGATGATTTAGATATGTTTAAAAATTAGTATTTTTATTTCGTTATGGGTTCTAGCTCTGGTAGCAGAACATTGAATATCTAAGTCCAGGTTTTCCTATAGCCCACATATTAGGTTCCCGTTTTGGTATAGCCCCCATATAACGTATGGTATAGCCCCATATTATTATTATTATTATTATTATTATTATTATTATTATTATTATTATTATTATTATTATTATTATTATTATTATTATTATTATTATTATTATTATGTATATCATTATTATTATTATTATTATTATTATTATTATTATTATTATTATTATTATTATTATTATTATTATTATTATTATGTCATTATCATCATTATTATGTCATATCATTATTATTATTATATACTGTTGTATAATTCACTGCCACAAAATAGGCTAATATACTTAATGCGCGCTCGCTATGGACATTTTTACGCCATTGAATGTAAAAATATTTTGTTGTTATTTTTCAAATTCAATAAAAAAATTGTCTTAGCGGGCGCCCATAAAAGAAATTTGCCCTATTCCAGAACCTTGCAATATTTTCGAAAATCGGTTATTGCAGTAAAAACTTTTACATTCTTGCAGTTCTGGAACAGACAAATTTTCTCTGTTCCAAAACCTGCAAGAAAAAAGTCGGTTATCGTAGTAACATATTTAGTTACTTGCAGGTACTGGAACAGACCAAAAATTTGGCTCTCTTATACCCTGTACCACAGTGAGGTGTAGCGTATTAATACAGATGGAGGCCTTTTAACTTTGTTTTCTTGGTCGTTGCATGACAAAGAGTTCAAACGGCAATGGAAGGCCACGGAGACGTTGCTGATAAAAATGAAATGAAATATACCGATGATTGTTATTAATCTTGGCTTCTGAATGCCATGAAAGTAGAGGACGAGTTGCATTTGTATATACATCCATAGACATACATACTGTCAGCAGAAGAAACCACACTATAAAGTTACCCCATAAACCATTAAAAGATTGTCTGCTCCATTATCGTCAGCAATGTAACACTTTGAGGCGTATCGGTCGCTGTTTGTCCACTCGAAAGCTCGAATGATTCACGTTACTGAAGCGACATGCGTTTGTTGTGGTTATTGCAAATACCGGGTTCTTCTTATCGCGCGTAAACAATAACTGCGAACAGTTCATATTCGTTTATTAATTATGTGCTTTTTTAATAAATTCGAGATATCACTGTAGCCGAACTGTCCTCCTGATCTTCTGAGAGACATGAAGGTGCAGAGAGAACTGAATGTATACTGGGCATTTTGGTGTGGATTGACAATGATGCTGCCTACTTACCATAATGTTTTTCATTTTGTATTTTTTTAATTTAAACAAGTAAAAAAGAGTTAAGTTCGGCTAGGGCGAAATTTTAATTTACCATTTCGAAGAAATTTTAAATTTTCAAAAAAAAAAAAAACCAGTAAAAAAGTCTTAAAGTCGGGCGGGGCCGACTTTTTGATACCCTACACCACTTTGCTAATTAAGTAGAGCTCCACATAACAATTAAAAGTTTTTATGGGAGTTTTTATGGATACACGCTAAGATTATAATTATAATTTAACGTTCAAAGGACTAAATATGCCGAATCATTTCTATCTTTTAAATTCGGAATTGTATTGCCCATTTGGTGCACAATTAATTTGAAATCGGATAAAGATATATATGGGAGCTATATCCAAATCTGAACCGATCTCGATAAAATTTGGCAAAGATATTTCTGAGCTGTATTTTATATATGTCCCTGAATATCGTTGTTACGGAGTGCATATTACGGTTGTGGGTAACAAATATAACAAATCGGATGAATAAAATATATGGCAGCTATAGCTATATCTGAACCGATCTTCACCAAATTTGACATACTAGCTTCTGGACTCAATTCGGTCGTAAGTGCCAAATTCCATCCCATTTGGACAAATATTAGATGTTTGGTGCACAATAAATGGTAAATCGGACGAAGTTATATATGGGAGCTATATCCAAATCTGAACCGATCTCGATAAAATTTAGCAAATGTATTTCTAAGCTGTATTTGATATATTTCCCCAAATATTGTTGTTGCATAGTGCATATTACGGCGGCGGTGGACAAAAATAGCAAATATATGGGAGCTATATCTAAATTTTGACCGATTATCTCCAATTTCAATAGGGTTCGTCCTTGGGCCAAACAAAAGATCTTTGCAAAATTTCATGTGGATCAGGCAATAAATGCGACCTGTACTTTGTTTACAAAAATACATGGACAAACGGACAGACGGACATGCATAAATCGACTCAGAATGTGATTCTATGCAGATCATCAAAAGGAACTATGGGTCTATCTCGTTTCCTTCTGCCTGTTACAAACAAATGCACAAAGACATAATACCCTGACCACATTGTGGTGTAGGGTATAAAAATACTGTAGAAATCATAAAAATACCGAATTTAGGGCATATCTGGGGCATTCTTTGACACTCTCAAACTTTTTTCCATAATATCTGCATATGTGGATCCTACTCGTTTTTTGAAATGTCACCTTAACCTTTGAAATAATTTAAATGTGAAAATTTTTAACTTTTTTTTTTTGCAATAAGGTATGTATTTTTAAATCTTAAAAATCCCTCAAATCGGGGGTAGGTTTATATGGGAGCCATATCAAAAATATGATCAATGTTGGCAATTTTTATACCCTCCACCTAGTACCTTTATTAAGTTGCCATACCGAATGTATGGGTGTGAAGATAAATTGGAAAGTTAAATTGGATGTTAACAGACACAGTTACTTAACAGAGCTCTGTTAAGGACTTAACAGAGCTTTGTTAAAGACTGAGTAAAAAAGAAAATTTTGAAAAATATAATTATTTGTTAATTATTATATTAAAATTTATTACTTCGGTAATAAAAATAGCTTGAATACAGATAAAATAAATAATATGCAGCACCAACTATAGAACAAACCGTTTCAGACACCCGAATTGGCTCATATCTTTATTATGATGTAAAAAAACGGAATGGACCACTGTGCAAAGCCTATAAAACCTGCGCGGATCAAACTAGGCTTAAATGAAAGGTCTTTCCGAGCACTTTCAGCCCATATATAGGTTATAGTCCAAAACCGTTTCAGAGACCCAAATTGGACCCATCCTTAATAATAATTAGGTCCTAACAGATTGAACCACTGTGCAAAGCCTATAAAACCTGCGCGGATCAAACTAGGCTTAAATGAAAGGTCTCTCCGAGCACTTTCAGCCCATATATAGGTTATAGTCCAAAACCGTTTCAGAGACCCAAATTGGACCCATCCTTAATAATAATAAGGTCCTAACAGATTGAACCACTGTGCAAAGCCTATAAAACCTGCGCGGATCAAACTAGGCTTAAATGAAAGGTATCTCCGAGCACTTTCAGCCCATATATAGGTTATAGTCCAAAACCGTTTCAGAGACCCAAATTGGACCCATCCTTAATAATAATAAGGTCCTAACAGATTGAACCACTGTGCA